TATAGCTGAAATGCTTCCTGGAATAACTGATAATGGATTGCCCTGTCCAGTACAGCTGTGTAATGTTCCACAAACACAAAAGGATGTATTTTGTCACATGTCCTTGTTTCGACAATGCTTGTCACAAGAAAGAGGTCAGGTAAGACTTCGCTGCCCTTTGCTCTGCCAGGCATTTCATTGTGGGCCTGTCCCTAAACTAACTGATTCTTGGACATTTGATCCTTTCCAAAAGAATATGAAGTCCAGGTCAGCTCACACACCAAAGTCTCTCATTCAATCACAAAATCCTATGCAGCTAGAGATTTTGTTCTCATCTATACTTTCACTCTTTTGCCAGCAAGAATGAATATATTGATATTTCTGTGTATTTTTCATGTCCAGGGCGACTGCCAGAGATTTTTTAGTTAGTTGTAGTTGCAAACCTTGGCACTGTAGCTATCAGTGATGGTTTCTCTCTCAGTTGTTCTGTGGGATTATGTTGTTTCCCCAGAACAAAGAAAATGACGTGTCTGGTCAAACTCCTTTGGACAGGAGCTCACAGCCCACCTGGCACCTTTCTGCAGCAGCACTGTGCCACTTTGAAGAGACTGAAATTGTTGCCTGCAGTGCTGCCTTTTTCCTTCACAGACTATGTCAAAAGTGTGTATTTCAGTGTTGGCAGCATGGATTTCTCCAGCGAAAGCACCTTCAGAAGGATCCTGTGATGGCCTTGGCCACAAGTATCTCACACCTACTCATTGCATTTGCTTAATAGCAAGCACACAGTGTCCAGGGGCTGCTGCTACACCAATTCTGGTCTAGGCCACACAGCACCCCCGTTGTTGGTCACCACAGAGTATCCAAAATCCCTCGTCCATTCCTCAAGTTGCTGGGATCAGCCAACAGCCAGGATGAAGCCATGGGTGGTCTTCCCTCATCAAGTCCTAAGGAGGCAGCATGGTAGCCAGGCCCTTACACCTGCTGTACATGAGCTGGCCACAGGCATCGGGGTCCTTCCCCACCAAGAGGCCTGTTCATGGCGGCCTGTGACTAGCACTGCCTGTGTCACCATCATTTCAGCTTCCACCTCTCACTGGAAGGCTGCCCAGCATGCTGGTTTTCTCGGAGTATCCTTCCAGAAATAATGGCATTTTTCTTTTGCACAAAATAGGATAAACTAATCTCTTGGATTGTTCCAGCACAGCTATCTTTCCATAAAGATTTTCTCCCCTTTTTCTGACAGGTAGCCTCCTGAGATGCCTCGTATCACTCCCCGTGTCTTACCTGCCAACCCTTCTGTCAGGTGTTGCACAACAGTTCCTCAGAGAAACAGGGTCTTAATTCTTCAGAAAGCAAAACTGCCAGTAGCCTGTTATTTAAGCAGAGACTGTGGCAGAAATTCCAGTAGCATCAGGTAGGTTTTCAAGATTATTATTTTTTTATTTATTTTTTTTAGTTAAAATTTTTGAAGCATTCTAATACTGTTAAGATTTCAGCCTTTTTAAAAAACAGAAATTCTCTTAGGTGTCTATTGGTATGAGAGCCACAAGCAGGCCTGAGAATTGAAACCTGCCAGGCTAAAGCACAGAGGTGCTCCAGCAGAGCACGGGATCCCTCAGTGCTCTGGGAACACCTGCACTCTGCTCAGCAGGCAAGGTAAAGCAGCTTATCCACAGCACCCATTTCTCTGGGGCAAGGGAAGGGCTGCTTCTCCCAAATCTCCCCAGAGCTTTGCAGAGCTTGGAAGCCACAGCAGGCATTCATCATCCCACCCATCAGGCCTGCCACCCCCTTTCATGAGGAACACGTTTAGCCTGACCTATAAATATGTGTCTCCTACATGGTCAGTGATGGCCTGGGCCAGGGCCCAGCCATCAGTATTTTGTTGCAGTTGCTGAATTTACACTCTTTCCCATCCTCTGTTTTCCTTCTTGAAAAAGGGGAAGCTTTGTACTTGTTTGTAAGCAAGCAACCTTCATTTTTTTTTTTTTATTTTTCCCATTCCTTCCTTTTGACCTTTGCTTTCATTCTGGAAACAGTGTAGGTCACTGAGGCATATCTTTGCCCTTCAAGCACTTTCCAGTTTAATAATCATGGAAAGGCTAACTTGCAAATATAATCCTCGTCAGTGTTCGTATTGTTTACGTATATTGGCTTTTACATTGAAAAGTCTGGATCAACTGCATCTGGCTATAAAAGATGAAAAAGGTAAATGCTTATGGTAAACATTGAGACGTTGAAATTTCTCTTCCCTTGCAACTGTTCATATCACTGCTTCCACTTCTAAAGAACAAAAAATAAAGCTTACTTCGTAAAATATTTGTTTTTACCACTGAGAAACAAATGGGTCTGTATTAAGCATATCCTGATAATATTCAAATAATGTAGCATCAGCTGTTTTTTGTTTTTTTTTTCCTACAGATCTGCTTTTATCACACCCCACTAATGTGGTAATGCTAATGTGGAAATAACCTATATTATTGGAAGAGTTCCTCTGCCTGTGGTGGTTTTACCGTGCTGGGCAGCTAAACCCCACAACCGCTCTCTCACTCCCCCTCCTTTAGATGAGGAGGGGGAGAAGTAAAGCAAAGAACAACTCACGGGTTGAGATAAGGATAATTTAATTAAAGGGAAATATTTATAATAATTAAATAAAGACTACTATGAACTAAACAATTTAACTAAGGGGAAATAAAAGGGAAAGGGGAAAAGGGAGGGGAAAAGGAAAAATAAAAAGAAGGGAGGAAAACAAACAAACAAAATAAAAGAAGGCTATATGGAAGTGCAGAGGAAAGAAATTACTCTCTACTTCCCACAAATGAGCGATGATTGACCACGTCCTTGAAGCAGGGCCTCAACACACACAGCCAGTGTTCCAGAGGACGACCCACATTTTCTCCATGAGAGCCCACCCCTTCCTTCTTCTTCCTGTTTCCACCTTTTATTGCTGAGTGTGACACCACATGGTATGGAATATCCCTTTGATTGGTTTAGGTCAGCTGCCCTGGTGATGTTTCTCTCCTCACTTTTTGCCCACCCCCTAGGAGGGTTAGAGAAAGGCCTGATGCTGTGCCACTGCTGCTCAGCAGTAGACACAGCACTGGTGTGATAACACTGCTGTTCCAGCTACAAGTGCAGAGTACGGCACTGTATGGGCTGCTGCCGGGAAAGTTAACATTCCAGCCAGACCCAGTACACTGCCCAAGACTCTGGCCAGGGAAATTCTTTGCCTAATAGTTTTCGACCTATTTATTCTCATGCCTTTCAAGTTATATCATAGAATCATGGAATGGTTTAGGTTGGAAGGGACCTCAAAGATCATTTAATGCCAACCCACCTTCCACTAGACCAAGTTACTCAAAGCCCTATCTAACCTGGCCTTGAATCTGGCCACAGTTGTTCAGATGATTTCATCATCTAAAAGGGCAAAACTGCTAGAATAGTTGTTCCTTGAAATATTTTCCAAAGAAATTGTCAGAGCATCTTTAATACCTGTCGGAATTGCATAGAAAAATACACATGAATAAATCAGTATTCCATTGTGCTATTTCTTGTTAATTTGAAAAACAGAGAGGAATAAAATGCAGGTTGTAGGACTTTATGGAGTTCTACTTGAGGATCAGAACTCCTAAAAATTTCATAAATACCTAGGAAGCTTCAGATCTACATGCTTTATTCATTCTCAAAATATGATTTTGTAGTAAATTACATTTTACTCACAGCTGTTCAAATGTAATGGTATTTTTCAGTGTGTTGTTCATAAAGTTAATATCATTCACACGGCAAACATTCATAGTGTCTCTTATTATGTTAACAAAAACAAAATCAGTTTTATGCATCAAAATCAAAAATGTGTGACTAGAATGAAAACATAATATTAAGCCAATAGATCCATATTTGCAGATGGCAATTTGCACATAGGAAGAGAAGACAGAAAATATTAGGATTCTCATATGTTTCTTAGAAGATGTGATCACAGGAACATAGAAGCCCAGATACATTCATGGAAAAATTTTGTGCTCCAGTTTTGAACTCCACCTGAGGGCTTTCTAGAGAATAAGTGAAGATTACTAGCTAAGAAAACTCAACAGAGACAGGGATAATTTTGAAACGTGTTTTCTTTCATATGACTCCCATGGAGAAATCATATTCTTTTACAGCATCTGCAGGATTTTAGAAACACATACACAAACAGACAAACCACAATTTTCTCAAATTTGAAGTTTCTTCCAAAGTTTTAAACAAAAATTCAGACACTTCTTTTGCCCAGTGGTTCTCACTAAATTCCGGATTATGAGGATCACTTGGATCTCCATGGTTCAGGCTTTGAATCTACACTCTGTGAAAAGTAATAACTGCACCTATACAAAATTATATCTAGTTCCATTTTCTGAAGCAGAAAGGAGACTCTTCATGACATTGGATAACCTCTGCAAGATATTCAAAATTACATGAGGAACTCATGGTGAGAGGGCAACTCTGGTAACAGTGAATGTGTACATTTCCCAATAGCTAAGTAAAAAACTTAAAATTTACATAGCCACCAGTCAATAACCTGCACACTAGAAACTTTTCCACAAACATCTCCTCCAGACTGGAGATCTCAAAGCCCAACTTTTAGGAGTGGCAACATGGGTTTGTCAGCAGGATTCTGTGGGGGATTGGGATGTCTACAGCCCATGGCTTTCTATGTGATGGGCGCCCAGTGACTTGGGGTCATACCTGCAATTTATTCCTTGAGTGAAAATCACTTGGCCCTTTCCTGGCTGATGAGTGCTTTCATTCTCACCTTCTTTTTGGCTCAGTCTTTGCTTAGCTCAAGCCGTTCTATAACCAGTATGAGAAAAGAAGTAGTAACCATGCTTGCTGCTGTGTCTTCACCTGAGGGTATGTCTTTGCTACGGAAGTTTCCAAAATAGGCATTTCTTAGATCAGGTTTTCCAGCTGGAGAAAATACTGAAGAGATAAGATTATGACACAATACTACAGTAACGGGATTTTCTGAGGGAGGGGAAGACGTGTTATTTCCAACTCTTTATTGTGTTAGGGGGAACAATATCTACCAAAGTAGACAATGCTGTTGGTTGGGTTATGTTTGATCAAGAAGAGGAATGGGTGGTCAGCCCTAAACTCTTCGAACTCAGAGGAATCCTTGATGTCTCCCATCATCCCTGTTGAGCCTACCACCTCCATGCCCTCTTCATTGACTTCCATGTATGCCCCATGCACAGCCTCAGACATCTTTAGGTTCTCTGCAGAAGAGATACCAGACAGGTTGGCTGAAGGGCTGAACAAGTCCGTCATTCCCAAGGACATTAAGACAGATGTGAGGTTATATTTTTCCTCAATCTTCATGCGAGGGAGGTACACTTTCACTACCCTCCTTTCCATCACACTGGGATTGGTCCACTGTGTCAGCTTTTCAAAGCTGATTTTGTTCTCAATCTGCAAAGAGAGGTAGCAAATGAAATACCTGGCGATGACAATGAAACTTCTTCCCATCATTTATTTTAATCAAGAGTATCAACATCATTCTAATTTATCACTTGCTTCTCTAATACTACCTGTGTCACCGTCCCCTTTTCAGTTCCTTACCCATCTGACACATCCCCTTCTGTACAACTAATCTTGTGTCTGAGGTGGCACAACATAGCAGTCAACTTGTGAAAAAGATTGCAAAAAATGCCATGAAAATTTATATACAGTCAGTAGTACCAAACAAAATAGAACACTTACAAAACTTATACAGTGTTCTGAGAGCATCTTATTTATAATGTCTGGTGAGGGTTTTTCAAATAAATCATAAGGGATTCCTGAACCTCATCAGTTCTAACAACATATACTCAACAGTTCATACAGGGGGATGGGTGAAATTACCTCTCAATGAAAAAAAATCTGCCCATACATACATCACTTTCTGCAAGGTTACAACTTAACAACACTCCTTTACCTTTATTTTGTTAGCTATGCTCTTTGTTCTTTCAGATTGAGTGCCAGGCCCTCCTAAGAGGCCAGTGTCTACCTGAGCACCTGCTAGCACCTGGGCAGCTGGTGTGCTCCCCTCATGGTGTCAGAGGACAGCACAAGCTTTGATGGCAGCCAGGTGCCACTGCACTGATAACTCCCGTGCTTCCCCTGACAGGGCCATACCTGCTCCAGGCCAGAAACCTCATCAGGCAACAGCACCAACATGCTCAGCTCTCCGCTGGCATACGGAAGCTCCAGGATCTTCATTTTCTCTGCAGCCACCGTGGCCACCTTAAACGTGCTGTTCTGAATCATCATTTGCACAGGCTTGCTGTCTTGCTGCAAAACAGAAGCATGAGATGATGTGAGCAGGGAGCAATTTTCTCTTTAATTGAGTGTATGTTCAAGCTTTCAAAGGAAGTGGGCTCGATCCTCAGGCCGTGTTTCCATTTCTTCTCTTGATGGCCGATGGCTGCAGCGCGTGGGGCCTGTGGCACGCAGCCTGCTGGCCGTGAGAGCTGGCAGCTGTCCTGGCCACAGGCTGTGCCTGTGCCCCTACCTTTGTCATGCTGAAGGGCATTTCCCGAGTGTCTTCTTCCTTGAAGGCTCTCTTCCACGTGCCTTTGAAGTAAATGGCATTAACGAGGACCAGTGCAGTATTGAGATCAACGGAGCTTGGTACCAGGAAGTCTTGGATGCGTCCTGTAAGAAGGAAGCAAGAGTGCTGAAACACACCTCCTCTGGTTTTCATGGGTGCCTGCAATGAAGGGCATGGGGCTGGAGGGAGCTTCTTTGAGGGGTTTTGTTTTTGTAGCCGTAGTCTTGCATTTTAGAGGTCAAACAACATGCTGTTACTTGAGCTGACTTTCTCCTTTCAAATGACAGGGTGTGGAATTCAGATTCCTGAGGATGATTTAATACAAAACAACTAACGCTTGGTCAGACATTTCTGCAAGAAGACAGGAAGGTTTGAGGATTCGTACACATCCCAGGAATATCTCAAACAAGTGTTTGGAAGAAGAATTGCACAGTAAAGAAGGAACAGGAGAGGGAAGTAGGGAGACAGAAAATCTATATCCCACTGCTTCCTTCTCATGTGTCACTCTTATTTTTCCTCTCATCTGAGCCCTGATAAATATATGCACATACCTTAATCATTCTTCTAGTGCCACCACCCTAATGGCATTACTTTCTTCCACGGAAGCCCATTTTTTACCCATTCAGCACACACTTGTAAAATGATGCCAATATGTTAGGGAAGCTGAGGCTAGTCTTGCAAGAGTTACACTCTGCAGGCACAGAAACTGTGCATGCCCAGGCACCTCTGCTTTTGCTAGATAGATTTAAAATGCACTGCCACACAGGTGGAATATAGTCTTATATTTTTCCATATTAATGGAAATATTAATTTTCCATATTAATCCATATGAACAGATATTTTCACAGGAAATATCCATTAATGGGGATGGAAAGAAGAAATTTCTCCTCTACTGTTTAGTCTTTCAGGAAGTTGTTCAAGCACAGTTGTAATGAGAAATTATATTTCAAACTCTTCTCTGACCTTACCCTCTGTCTGTTTTTCCACCCAGGAATTAATGAGCTGTCTGGCTTGATCTGATGCTTTTTTGAAGTTCACTGTTTCCAGACCTACTCTGTACAGTTTCTTCACACATTTTAAGTATATCTGTAAAGACAGCAGTTGTAGCCACCAAACCAGTCAGTTTGTAAAAAGACTATGATGGTGAAATAAAATACAGATAAACAGACTCAATTTTTGTAGTGATGCCATGGTTAGATTGTTCTCATTGCTTGTTTTCTGGACAAAATAGTTAAAACTGGGCCAGAAAAAAAGTTATTCTGATGCATGACATTTTCATACCTTACATTTTTATTACTTGTCCAGTTAAGAGTATGTACTAGTAATGCAGAAATATTTTCTTGAAGAAAGCCTGATCCAAAATCAGCTTCAGGTCCATTGGAGAGTGCTTTGTTATCATTATGTCCACTCTTTCTTTTGAATTATTTTTCCTTATTTTTAAAGATAAGAAATTTATTTGATTTAGAATATTTGTATGCTTTATTTTGAAAATGTCAACTAAATGATTTAGACACTTCAAAAAGTTGTTTTTGAGGTGGGGTTTTCAAATGAAGAAACACATTGAAATCAAATTATTTCCTACAGGGAAAAAATGAGAGGGAGGGAGAGAGAGAAGGAAAGAGGGAGGAAAAGAAGAGAAGGGAGGGAAGGGAAGGAAGAAGGAAGAGAAAGCTGTTACGATGAAAGGAATTTGTGGGGCAGGGAGAGGGAAATATTACATTCCCAATTCGTTTTCTTTATTAATTCCATTTATTTTTGAATGGGGTCATCTTTTTTCCCTGGAATTGCTTCCCATGCAGGCTATTTTCAGGGGCAAAGGGAAAAGCTGGGGGAGCCCAGCGAGGAGTGTTGGATTAACAGATCCCCTATTCCAGGCAGTACTTCTGGATTGCAGATTTATGCAAGGTTTAGAAAGAAATCACTCTGAAGTGCAACTTACCGGTAGGATTGGACATGACTTTTCAGCATAGAGTCTGTTGGCAAGGTAGACTGAATGATTGGCTTTTGGCGTAGTGATATCAGAGAGAAGTTCCTTGAATAGTATGTGGATGTTCATAGACTTGCCACACTGAGTTATTGATGAGAAAGAAAAAGAAAAAAAAAAAGTATAGATGTTAGCTTACTTCACTAGAAAGACAGCTACTTATAATCACACATGAAAACACACAGTATTAGGACATTTGCAGACAGATGTATTGGAATATAAAAGCTCTATGGGAGGGATGTTCTTTTAAGCAATTAATGATGTACAATTCATAGCATCTAGTGATACTCAGCCTAGGTTATAGCAATATATATATAGCAATTTCAGATGAATCTGAAACCACACGCCTGAGGAGCAAAGTGATAATTGAAGAAAAATTCAGGCGTCTGGTTACATTTGGTGAGTTGTCCTGCGTACAGTGCCTAGTTCCCTGCTTCTGCTTTCATTTTCATGGCAGCTTTGTGCTGAAGCTGCAGATAGGAGTAAGGATAGGTGACAGGGGAGTTGGGAACTATCTTATAGTATAGTCTTATAGTATAGTCATATAGTCTTCTTGTCCTTCAAGTCCAACCTTGTTTTTAGAGATCCAAAATGGATGGGGACAGGCCTAGGAGAATGGCTCGTGTTATCTTTGCAGCTGCAGCAAATGAACATGGAGGAAAGCACACAGGTGTTTCATGTGCTGTCCCCCAGCAGCACCTGCAGGTGTGCAAGCTCTTATTAATCCAGTAAGGTAATGCATTCTTCCCTGTTCCATCACTTTTTCCAGTGCAATATATGCAATCTGCCTTCTTTTTCTGATTTTTTTTTCTTTCTTTTTGTTTATTTTTGTTTTGTTTTTGGGGGTAGGAGGGTTTTTTTTTGAACAAACTTGAGTTTTCCACTTGCATGTCTTGGACTGAGAGAACTAGCTAAGATTTGGGAAGGGAATTGACCTATTTGAAGCTCACCCAGAACAGTTTTATTTTCTATTCTCGGGAGAAAAATTGGAGAGAGAAATGAATGTACCTTAGGTTTCTGTACCTTGGTCTGAACGCTTCCTCCAAGTCCTGCAATGCTGTCAAAGTGAAGAACCTGCAATGGGAAGTAACAATAGAATAAATGAAGTATGCGAAGTCCACTCAGAGTCACTGCTATTTGTGTTTAAACTATGGGCTTGGAATAACTGGGTCTGACTAACACTGAGTCTCATGTGAGCTTGAAATATTTTTTTTTTTTTTTACTGCATGCGCTACTTCAAAAATTTGTGAGTAGGATCTTCAGCTTAGATCACTTATTTTCCAGTCTAGAAACCAGCTACACACATACTTTATTTATAACCATGACTCTTGCTTTCATCTTTTATATATTACAAATTGTCCATCCCATCTGGAAGGGGGCTAGTTTGTGAGATAATATAAACTGAGGAGATCTGCCTTAACCATTCTTCAAGATATCTCCTTAATGGAAGTCATTCTTGCCCTACACAGTGAAAAGCAGTGATAAGTGAAAAGTTAGTTCACGATCCAAACATGGTTTGGCTGAATGCCGTTCTTCCACCCAAGTTTGAATCCAGTGGTAAATGTGACTACGGCTGGCCCTTCAACTGGAGAAGTCTCAAAGACATTGATGGGTGATCTGCTGTTGTGTTGAACAGTATAAAAAGGACCTTGCATCTGTTTTATGTAACTTACCTTTTCCATCTGGTACTCAGTGTTGCCTCTGGCTCCCAGATAGACCATGGCCAAGGCTGCAATGATGCTCAGGGGGGAATACAAGATGTTCTCATTGGCATGGTGAACTTTAAGCTCATTGAATACATCAAAACAGAATTCTGCATTTGCTGCACTGATGGACCCCATTGTGAAATCAGTATTATCTGAAACAAACAGAAATATGACTGTGTGCTGTTGATATGTGGCTTCAGAAAGAGATACTGGCTCATCATTCAAATACTATCTCTTTCTTGCCCATCTTGTTCATTTAATCTCTGCTTTTTTTTTTTTGTTCGTTTGTTTGTTTTGTTTTGTTTTTGAGAGGGAGAAAAAGCACATGTATATATGCCATAAATGCAGGGTTTGGCTGTAAAGCTTGATGCACTATACAGCTGCATTAGTTCAATCAGATGAATGTCCTACCCATGCAAGTTAAGGTCACGCCTTCAGAGTATTTATTGAAATCTACAGTCATTCTCTTTCTTTCTTTTTGAGTCTGAGACCAAGAAATCTGTATACTGTTCTTCTCTCTCTAGAATAGTTAAAGTTGGAGGAATAGCATATCCATGGTTAAGGGTACGTGTTCCACTATGTGACCTGAGAGGTGTCTCGTGTTAATGACTGTGGAACCACGGGCTGTGTGAATCATCTTAGTCTACCTCACTCAAGTTCTCCAGAGAGTGGGATTGAGAAAAAAATGCTTTAAGTCAAAAAAAAAAAAAAAATTCTTAAAAAAGATAAAGAACAGCTTTAATGTGACACCAGATTTTTGAACAAAACAGAGGCGTCCCTATTTAAACTATGGCGTACAAATACTGATTTTGCACACCTAAAACTATTTGACAGTCAAACAGTATAAAACATATTGACAAGGCAATGTAAAATTACTATATACACTTGTGGTTTTTTCCATATCTGTCTTATACTTACCTTAAAGTTCTTAAACATAATATTCCTCTTTTTTTTTCTTTTTTTTTCTTTTTTTTTTCCTTTTTTTTTTCATATAAAAGAATACAAATTAGAAGTTACACTTGGAGAAATACTTACCCCACAATCTTCAAAGAGGCACGTAATAATCCAGCTTGCCAGCTGAATTCTACGCAGATTCTCTGAGCTCTTGGTGATATATACAGGACCATTTGGGACACTCCCCCTGTTAGCCTTCAAAGAGTCATCCTTTGAGTTACTACCCTTTTGTCAGTGCTTTTTGATTCATTGCCCTTCAAACTATTGAGTAGACCAACATTAGACTGGTGCTGTATTTGCAGCAAGCCAAACGTTAGTGAAGTATATTAGTGGAGTAAAACCTGATAAAATAATGGAATGATTCAAGCTTTTTCTGTATCTTACAAGGCTGTAACAAGGCAAGTGGAGTTCAAGTCTCAAAGCATGTTTTGTGTTATTCCTTTGAAGTTAAACATTAATTCAATTGGCACATAGAGGTAACTAGAGCCTAATGAATTAAAAATAAGGAAAAGAAGAAAAACAACGTTGCAAAGTTATTTAGCAAAGCATAATACATTTTTAATAAAATCAGAGTGAACGATTCTCACAGTCAGGTGAATCTAAGGATCCTAAAATATTATAAGAAAATAAGGTGTAGTTATCATAGAGTCATAGAATGTCTTGGGTTGGAAGGGACCATTAAGGATCAGTTCCAACTCCTGGAAAGGGACACTGGAGTTCATCATCAACGAACACCTGCAGCTAAAGCTGAGAAAAGACTCTTCTTCACTCCGTTTTTCACTTGAAGTAAAACTGTATCATATATAAGCCCAAGGCTATACAGCATACGTGTGAAGAGAAAGCACATTTTGCTGAAAATTCATCCTGATGAAAAAAATCAGAGCAGCAGTGTTGAGATAAATTAGAAGACTCAGTGTAGGCATGGCAGAGGAAGAGATTTGAGGTACAGTCAAAAAGTGTCTGCTGCTTTATGAAGTCAGATCCCAGAGTATTCAGATATTCAGAAATAACCAGCCATTAGAATTTAAAGGATGATTGGAGGTCAGCTTTTAATTTTCATTCTCCACAGGTCACAGAAACAAGGCCCGTTGTACATGCATGGGCCATTCTCATATATCTTCTATACCTACCTTTTAACTATGACAGGTAAATAAACTACCGAGTCTGTCTGAAGGTACATTCATGGTCTGTTAGACAATCATAATGCACAATATCAAATATAACTCAATTGTAAAAGGCTATTACTCTTTATTGAAAAATAGACTCGATGAGCACTAAGGAAATGAATCCAGCCTCTGTAAAAGCCATGGGAGGGAGTAATAGAAAACCCAAATTTTTACATATTAAGGCAGAGAACACACAGTGGTAGTTGCACCCACTGGTGAAGGGGAAAGGAAGTCACTTTACCCTTTGTGGTGTGTTTTGTTTTGCTGGAGTTCAGGCATGTTTGTGCAGACCCTGATAACTGGGGTAGCTTTCAGTTTCCGAGCTCAGAATGAGCTTTTCATCTGAGGATGTTATAGCAATCATGGGATGGGAAAATCTACAGAGAGTAAGCAGCTTTCCTCCCATCTTGTTCAATGGTCTGTATTCTATGGATTTAACTTTATTCTGTCAAACTTTTCCTGCCTGAGGGCACAAGTTTTTGCAAACTCTACCTCTGCAACAGAACAATCACTACAACAATTTTGCACACAGCTAGGATGAGCATCTGATAACGTACCATTTCCCTGTTTGTGAATGACACTAGGTTTCTTCATGTGAAAAACTATTTCATCAAGGCAGGCAAGATAGCTTAAAACACCCAAAGTAAATGAGAGGATGACGAAGATGAAGTTTGGTTCTACAAGTGGTCACAGGCGGGACAGAATACCTTAGTCTGCCATTATGCAGGCTTGGATTTGTTTTGCATTTTTTCTACACTGAATGTTAGTGCAAAACTGGTTGTAGAAGCAGCCTGTGAGTAGCCAAAAATTTTGACCAGAATGGGCTATCCATGTGCAGTCACCAGTGGACAAGTGCTTTTTTGTAACTTTAAACAGGGCATTGGGCCAGGGGAAGTCAGAGGTGCCTCCTGAAATGGAAAAGCTATGAGTGTAAGTAAGACAAACATGTTAAACTCCGTTCCAGATCTGTTTTTGTCCCAGGAAAGACGTCAGCAAGGACTCTGATGCCCTTTCCACTGTCAGGCAGTCCATTGTGGAGCTGCTCCTAAACCATTTCATGGGGTTTGCCTTTCTTTTCCAATGTTGGCTTAATCAAGGAGATATTAAGCAGCAGTAAAAGCAGCCCTTTCCAACCATTCAGATTTTCACATTTCATTTCCTGTGGTTGCTCAGCAGATACTGTGATGGACTTGAGAGTAATGTTTGCTTATGCTTTGGAATTGTTCGTGCCATATCTTGGTCATCTGTGTCACACTTAGCAGAGGCTATTCTGGCATCTCTCGGTGGCCTTTAATGAACCAAGATGTGGCCAGAACAGCCCCATATACAGGATTTCAGATGCTTTTTACTCTGTCATGGTATTTGTTGTGATGAAGATGATCAGCTCTCTGTTGCGCACACACGGTCAGAGGCAGCTGGTATTGGTGCTAGAACTTTGAAGTCAACCAGCCCCTTGTACTAAACCTCTCAGATAGTCAGTGTGTCTGGCCTAGGGTAAAATTAATGTCTAAGCTGCCCTTCAGAGCTCATAGTAGCTGGTATGTCAATGTGTATTGTGTTTGCACAGGAACATGAGGCAAGAGGAGGCCAAGCACATCTACCAGTCCGTTATGCCCCTTCATAGCTGGCTGGCTCTAGAAACAGCTCATTTTGATGTAATAAAGCCAAGAGTAAAACAGTTTCACATTGTTTCAATGCTTTGTTATTCTTCTTAAATTAAGAAGGCAACTAGAAAAAAAAAAAAAAAGATTATGTGAAGAGAAAAATATAATTTTTCTTTATATTGTGTTTTGTTCCTGGTTTTAAGATTATCTAGATACACCTGGAGAAGGTTTAAAAAATGCAAAGATCATAAGTGATTACTTCTGCTGTAGTAGAGTGGCAACCATTGTTTCAGTCATACTTCTCTTTTGTGCACAGACAGAATTCCTTTTCCTGTTGTGAGACTCATGTTCTTCAAAATAATATTTTACAGCACTTGCCCTCATCGTACATGCCATAAATTTTGTTTTCTTTGAAGTTTTATCTGAAATAAAATAGCTCTGGTTATACAAACTAGTATATATAGGCTGGCACTTTTTCACTTTTTTTTTTTTTTAGCATAAGTAATACATGTTTGAGTCAAACCAGATATATATTAAATACCTACGGTAGTTGCTGAAAAACACACATGGCTATTTTTCACATACTCTCTTCATCAGAAGAATCCACAGCTTGTATTTGGCATTCTCATCTTTTACTAGCTAATTAATATGAAAATTCTGTCTCTGCCAGTAACTTTACTGTAACAGATGGTATTTCATATTGAAATTGCAAGACACCTCATGAGCCTGCTTTATTTAGCAATTTTAAAAGTGCATGGTTCTGTAATTTACAGTTTTTCATGCATATCTCAGCATTTGGGAAAGCTTTTCAATCTGCAGTTCTGAAATAACACTAGTATGTTCCCAGTAGTTACTTTCTTCCCAAAAAAAGAGTAAGAGGAAAAGCAGGGCGAGTCATCAGAGGGTTGAAAATTTTTTTCTTAAAAAATATATATTCTTTATGGGTCTGTGGATTCTGGATATTATGTGATGCCAAATTGGATGGGCTGCTTTTTTCTCCACAATCCCTCAGCTATGCCTTCCCACCACATACTCCACAACATCTGAGGGGTGGTTTAGAGGACTACATCATCAACAAGCTTACTTCAGCAAAAATTTTCCGCTTGATTTAGGTCCCAGTGAATTGCTCATCACCCAGTAATAATGACAGCATAGGGGAAGGAACAGAAACACATGGAAGGAAGGAGACAATGGGAGCATCATTATCCCTTTAATTGCCTTAGACTGGCTCATCCATGTCCTAAAACTGCACTCTTAATTCCTTCATAAAATCAAATACAAGAGAGAAATAGGAGGTGAGGCTCAGGTTTTACTTGTCCTAATGTTGAGTTGTCCTGTGCCCATACTCAGAACAATGAATATTTAAAAATGGGAGGTAGACTACAGTGTTACTTAGACACTTTAGAAATGATTGCCATTATTTTTACTTGCTTTAATAGGACATACACCTGTCCACTTAGTTCTGCAGACTACTACATTTAATAATTACTTTGCAGTGGCTTTATTATTAAAAATAGAACAAATACAGGCTATCCACCTAAATACCATCACCATAAAAGTTTTATTTTATTCTAACGAGGGATAAAACAGAACAAGAAACTTGTGCTACTTTGCTACTCCCATACAAAATGGCATTTTTCTTTAGATCTACACAAAGGTCATGTAGGTAAAGCCAAAAGAGATTGAGTACCTAATTACATACAGATATCCTTCTAATGCAGATCCCTATCCTCTTGTCTGCTTCATGCTTGAGAATCTATCACCTGTCTTTAGGGCACTAAAATCATGGCTTTATTGTAGGAATACTACATTAGGGAAGGGGAAAGCTCAACAATAGAAAAGATATGTCGATTGCTTTTTAAGGTAGAGGCTATTTTAGCTTGTCCTTCTGATTTATTAAGTCCCTCCTAAAAGTAAATCATACCTGGAGTTGATATTAAGAATCTATCAGTTAAAACTTCTTAGGTTTTGACCTCCAATGTTTCCCTTACAAAATCTGTGAGCATGGGTCCTCTTTTGTCCTCAGTAATTGCCAATGGGAACGTCAGTGGGGAGAAAGATCTAATTTCCAAAATAACTTTCATTTAAGGGGAGGAGTATCTGCCAAAGAAGAGAATGGTGTTGGTTGGGTTGTGTCTGATGAAGAAAAGAAATGGGTGGTCAGCTTTGAACTCATAAGAAATTGGGCGACTCAAAGGCATTACAACAACCTGTGTGGCAGCAACCGCTTCAGTGCCCTCTTCATTCACTTCCACAGATGACTTATGAATGGCCTTGGACATAACCAGGCCATCTTTCATAGAGATTCCTGATAAATCTGCTTTTCCCCAGTCAAAAACATTCATCACTCCCATCTTCTGGAGAGTTTTGTTGAGAACGTAACTCTCGTCCATCTTGAACTGGGGCAGGTATACCTTCACTGTCAGCTGTTGCATCTTATCCAAGCTGGTCCATTCTGCTAGTTTTTCATATGTGAGGGTGTTTTCAAGCTGTAGGGGGTTATTGATAATAATAACACTGCAATGAATGAAAGGAAAAGATAAAAAGGTTCTGTTTTCCCCATTGTTTTTTTGACCATACTGGAGCAATGTTAGAGTATTGCTCTGTATTCATCCCTTTTCATATGTAACTAGAAAGTAAAGAAGGTATTACCTGTTCTAGGCCAGTAAAGTCTTCATGCACAACTTCAGGAAGAAGAATAAGCATGCTTAGTTCATTATTCAAGTAAGGGAGCTCTATCACTTTAATTTTTGGTTCCTCTACGATGGCCAGCTTAAAATAACCTTCCCGAAACATCATCTGCACTGTCTTTCTCTCATTCTGGAACACAAAAAACAGATGAAACAGAAAATACAGAAATGTTCACCCTGGTTGTGATTGCTTTCGGTACTGAAATTAGAGTTCAGTACAGAAAACATTGTTTACTCTGACCAGAGCTTATTGTACTTGTAGAATTGACATGTTCCTCTCTCTGAACTGTAGCTCCAAAGAAGTTATCCAATTTAAACAGTGTAAAAACTACTTTTCCATTTGTACTTGTGACAGTTTACTTTACTTACAACTCTCTTTACTTTCTTCTTCTTTTCTGGCATGTCAAATGAGAAACAAATCCATGAATATTATTGAAAATGACCTTTGGATTAAAATAAAATAATTAATTGTATCAAATATAAACTGAAATTCTTCATGAATAATTGAAATTCTTCATGAACTCCGAGATTATTTGACTCTAGACATTTCTTTTTTCCTGAAAACAAACATTTTTCTGTTTGCAAATAGTAAAAGAAGAATAGATTCCTTGAATTCAGTTCCAAAAGCAAGCTATTTTGAAATAGCTTTTAGTTGTGAAATCTCCAACAAAGCCAGAGCACGTACTCAGTGACTATGACACAGTTGGGATCTCATCTACGCAAGAACCACTTCTGGTGTGAATTGATGGAAAAAAATGACATACTTGATTTTCAAACCAGAGAGAAGGCATAGGACTCTAGTGTTTTAGCTCAAGAATAATGTCTTGTCTTGAGAAAACAAAGAGGAGGAAAGATTCCATCTGTTCTTATAGAAGACAGGCATCTGACTTCCATCCCCCAGCTGCTTCATTTCCTGCCCGTACTGTACCTTGTTCAGTCTGAAATATGTTTCCTTGGTATCTTCCTTCTTAAATTCTACTGCCCACTTTCCTTTAAAATATATGGCATTGACCAGCACAAGTACAGTGGAGGGATCAATAGAACCAGCAGCAAATAGGTCTTTGATTTTACCTTTAAAAATAATGAATTAGGAAGAATTTTTACTTTTTGTTTTTTGTTTGTTTGTTTCAGGCAATCAGTTGCATTTAACTATTAATTACTCACATAAAACTGATAAGTGGTATAGTGGCTTCAAATAAATAACAAAAAGTTTATGTAGAGCTCCTGAAGCCAGGAACTCAAGGCATTTTTGTGCTTCTTCCTATATTTATTTCCTATTAAGCAAATAAACAAATAAATAAATTATGCAGTAAGTATTTAATATATAAAAATATGGCTACCTTGGGGAAAAAAGATGGAAACTGAAATTTAGATCCAATATTCCTAATGGTTTGTGTGCAACCAAACAACTTGCACACATTCTTTACCTTTTGTCTCATTTTCCACCCAGAAGTTGATTTTCTCTCTGGCTTCTTCCTTAGTATATTTAAAATCAACTGCTTCCAGCTCTGCTCTATAGAACTTCTTTGTGGAATCCAAATATTGCTGGAAAGCAGAAATAGAAAAATTTCATCATGACACGATAATTTTTATAAGATTGATAATTTCATGGCCTCAAGATAATTATGTGTTGTAGATCAACAAGAAATAAATGAGTAAAAAAGGCATATATAAAAAAAATTCTTTGAATTAACTCAAGATACAGTTTTTAGAGCGATATTATTTACAACAAACCATGCTTGAAAATATATTTTTTCTGTATTTTCAATCTGTACTGAGCAGCAGAAATGTCTCATCACAGTGAAAAATACCTAAAACCAAAGCCTGGTACCTTTCCTTAAGCTTATATATCATTGTTATGTTGCCTGTCTTCACCCACCTCACAAATTAAAAAAAAAAAAATGTCTTATTTTGGAAAAATTAACCATGATGTATAACATCACAATGAGATATGCTTTACTCTGCATAGGTATATACATGGTAAAACTTATATCTTGTATTAATTATAAAACTTTTCCAGGCTGCTGGGCACCTTCTTCTGGCTTTGAAATTTCTCCCCGTGCCTAAAAAGCAAAAGTTTGGAAGCAAAATAAACTCTTGACTTGAAAGCAGAAAGGTGGTTACAGAGCTAAAACAGTGCTGTTCCTACCAACACACTCACAAACACCTCAGACCTGGTTTCTTGAGGAAATAATGTGTATGCAGTTGCACTGCCTGGACTGTCAGCATTTCCCAGTAAATTTCTGGGCTGCTAAAATGGACAGTACAGCCACTCACCTGGAAGAACGGGTAAGTGATTTCTCCAAAGAGCCTGTTGGCAGTGGTGAGAAAGCAGCCTGGGCTGGGTTCACCGACTGCTGCTAGCAGTGCCTGGAACTGGGAATGGACTCCTCCAGCTTCTTCACACTTCAAACAGGAAAATGTAAGTTTCTTAGTAGGTTTGCACTTCCTGGTGCAGAGCTGTACCTGTGGATGAGTTGTAGCCTCTCTGTGTATGAGAAGCCTGATATAGGCGTTGGAATAAATGAATCAGGACACCACCTCTAACCCTGTACCTTATTTACTGAGTGACAAAATGATGCCTCCTCAGGCCCATGCTAGTCCACTTCCAAATCAGATTGTATTGTACAGTGATCACTCTGTGCACACTGAGCAAAAATCTGATAGCTTAGAGCCTGAGAGGAGCAAGCTCCAATGCGCCTCTGGCATGCCCTGTAGACAAACGTTTGCAGCTGGCTGTTTAAGCACTTATACATATATATTTTGTTGTTGTTGTTGTTGTTACAAACCTGTAATGAGTAGGCTTAGCTGTTGAAAATTGTGATTTCAAAAGGCCTCTTATATAAATAATAAAAGAACTTTAATAAGCAGCTCTGAGAATCTAGACAGAGAGGCTGGTCAGCCCTGCTGTGCTTTCTGATTAAGAAATGGGTTGCATGGGAGACAGCTGACAAACCAGCACCTGTTGTTTCATCTCAGAGCCGCCACTGTCTTACCTTCTCAGAAGGATATCTGGTTCTCTGGGTTGTATCACTCAAAACTTCACCAAAATGAAATACCTGCCAAGTAAATGTTGGGTGAATGCAACTGCAGGATGGTACCTCAAAGTTGAGAGAGAGTTGCAGACCTATCCCAGACACATTAAGTGGGGAAAGTCCAGTTCATCCCTTATGATGAGATCCTTGCAAATGAACAATATTTTTAGAAGGTGAACTCATGACATTTCACAATCTTTCTTCTTGGGAAAGAAGAACTTGGGTCTTCTTGGTCAGAGAAGTTAGAAGGTCATACCAAAGGGAACCATCACTTCTGAGCCTTGGACAGCTGAGTGATACATTCAAAACACTTTTGAGATGTTCTGTGATTCTATGTTGTTTTTGTTTTATCACTAATATATTCATTGACTGAGCAGTTGCTATAACAGAGTTTAGTTGGAAAAAATAAAAATACTATTAAGAATACCACAAGATTTATATACTTACATACATACATACATATATATATATATATTTTTTTTAAGGCACTGTGTGTGCTTGCACATTGTGTCTTTGGAAGCTTAGGAACTGTATCAGACTGCACTATCAGCCAAGAGTGCCAGGAGAGCAAAGCAAACCCACCTTCTCTATCTGTTTGAGTGTGTTGCCCCTGGCACCAAGGAGAACCATTCCAAAGGCAGCTGAGAGACTCAGTGGTGAGAAAAAGATGTTTTCATTTCTTTTTATTTTGCTCAGCTCTTTGAAAAAGTCCAGACAGAACTTGGCATTGGCTGCACAAAGCGAGCCCATCGTGATGTTGTCAATGCCTGCAACAAGGAAAACAAAGATTTAGTTTTCTAGTCCTTATGCCTGTTAATGTTAGATACTGTGGTAGAGCATAGAAGGGTTTTCTGGAGTAGCTTGGCTGAATTGCTCACAGAAGATTCCTGACTAGCCATGTCTGGGATTTCACAGTGAAATTGAGTTTGAAGCAATTTATCTGAAAATCAGCAGCCTGAATGGCAGAAGAAACATATTTATAGAAACAGTATTCTAGGTTCAGCTGTTTCTTATCCCAGGCAATAGTTACAACTCTGTTAATTAGGCCTAACCTTGTCCTAACCACAGTGCCAGCTCACTTTATGGCCTGAGCTTTCTTGCCTCAAGTCATGAAGGCATAGTACTTACCAATTACTCTCCTTAATGACACCTTATGCTCTGTATCTCTCTAAAAACTTTGTGCATATTAATCAACTGTGCCTCACATGCTGTGTCTTTACGAGAATGGTTGCTTAAAAAGCATTCCACAGAAAACTGAACTACAGAAAAGCTGACTTAGCAATATTTTCAACAAAGGCATATTGTGCTTTATTGGAAAATCCCAGTCATATACTTTTTTTCACCTGACGCTTTAACATTTTTCCTTGATACGTAGTTCAGTTACAATCAAACTTATTACTAGGAGGTACTCTTGAATGTACACTTTGCTTCACATTCTTAGACCCGGGATAGAGTAGATCCCATTTTTATGAAAGTCTTTTCCCTCTGTTTTCATACAGTAATGTGATTTAGAGATATCTGATCACTGAGAAATTCAGTCCAGCATTTTATAGATTCCAGCTATTCTAGGTCCCTTTGTTTTCATTGTTATTGCATCTGAATAACTTTTTCCACCCATGCAGAAGATACCTTTCCCCTCTTCCACAGGAAAAATTAAGTTATCAGTGTATATATTTATAATATAGCCCAGTATAGAAAGATTATACTTTCATAAATTACCAACCTGGGTCATGCAGAAAAAGTGAGAAATGGTTTGGTTTTAATCTTCTGTAGAAACACACCTGGTACAAGTTAAGCATAGCTTTATCACACAACTCATAAATTTTAATACAATCCAAAGCATTGCATAGCATCTTGAAAATATTCTTACTTCTTCAAGAACATACATACAATATATTTATGCTAGGCAGATGTGTACATCACTAATGTATATATTAATCTTTAGACACGTCCTCGACATATCTGTAATGTGAAGGTTAGAATTAAAGGTCAGGGAGATAGTTACCTTCTCCTCAGGAGTGATGGTGTCAATTTGACTGTAAGGCTTGATGTCAGGGTTGCTAGAGCAATGGAATATAAAGCCAGTGCCACTCCCAGTGGCAGCATAATTTCCATTCATGACAAATCACATTCCTGTCTGTTGCAAATGGTTAGGATAATTAGGGGACCTTTAGTGGGATCTTGAACTTTTTCTTATCTCCAGGAATTCAGAAAGAAGTCACCATTTTAAATGCATAGTTACATAAATTAAAAATAAAATACCTATTTATTCAAATAAAACTACTAGAAACAAAGGAATTTTCAGATGTTTTACTTGTAAAAATAAATTCTAAAAACTTTGATGCATGTTGCTATTAAAAATCATACCACCAAATTCAAACACAGATGTTTGTGTAATGGAAATTAATTATTAAAGTTTCTGCAGGTGGAACAGTAGGAAGGGAAACAAAAATACAGAATATGAATTACTGAAGTACCTATTTGGCCAATTGTGGCATAAGGCAATGATTCTAGAAGAGAGGGAGGGCAATTCCCTGTGCTTGCTCCAGTTCCATGCTTCTGAAGACTTCTTTCTTGAAGATGCCTTCCAGGGAATTTTACCTACCTGTTCTCTTTTTCAACTGGAAATTCCTTCTTCCTTGTCCTTCATGGAGAAGAGGAATGTAGCCATTTGTTCCAGAATTTTTTGAATGCCTAACAGGTTGGAAAACAGTAGTTTGCTTTCATTTGCATGACACCCTAGAAGAATGGGCATGGTGTGTGCACAGAATGACAATGCCACGTGAGCATGTTATGTATGCTGCAGCCGAGCACTTTGCAGTTGTTGCAGTGATGTGGCTCAGACCATGTGTGTTCATGTCACATGCAGACTAACCCAGGCACACCTGGGATGCTGTGCTTCCTGCAGAGACACTGCAGCAGGAACTCCCCATGTATCAACTGCTCCTCCTTAGTTTTTCCAGGTCTGTTCCTCTGCTGGGGATTCCTGATGTTTCTGCTGTAAATGGGGAAGGCTTTCATGGCATGAGAGGCAAAGCATAGGAAAGCTCTCTCTGTCTGCACAGTTGTCTTTCAAACCTTTGCATGCTGCCGATGTGCTTACAAAAAAGCTGGACTAGTTTTGTCCAGGCAGACTTTCCACAAAATATTGATGTGTCAGCCAAGTTTAACCCAGGACTTCTCATTGCTCCTCATTTTCATCAGTGACTGAGGAATTCTGGTCCTTACCTTAAAATGCTTCAGCAAGGCATATGCAGCACAGACAGAGCAACATAATTATAAGAAGTAGTACATTTCTGGAGTAATTTTCCTGAAAAAAAATGTCTTCCTTCACATTTATATTGATATGGCATGTGGGTGGGTAAGTATTTGCATGTGTGTGTGCAAGCACAGGTGCTTACAACAGTGTTTTCTAAGAAGTGCTTAGTTATCACTACTAACATATACTTAGGTATCAACCCAATCAGATAGTAGGCTTCTCTGTTTAGGAAGCTCTGAAGGCAGTTTCATATCAGTCGTAATATTTTCATGAGTTTATTTCCTTTACAGTTTGAATTGCTCCATGTAGTGATGGATCATTTTAAGTGGACCACTTTCTGTCAGTGCTTAAATTATAATTAATGAAAGAGATGAACTGGAATTAGTTCCCAGAAAGGAATATTTTTTGCTGTTTTTGTAGTCTTCTGATACTTCCTGTTCCTTCTAGGTAAGTAAAATGCAGCTTAGAGAGTGGGTTAGTATAGTATATTCCTGTGCTTTTTCTAAAATACACTAATAGAGGGGGGAAAAAATATAACAATGCAGGTAATAAACCCCATGGGACCAACCTGTTTGAAATGTCTTGCTCTTTTTCCATGAATTCTCCTCAAACCACAGCATACTTCTGCTCAGGGCATTGGTTCAAGCTCCTTGAAAGACATGACAGACGCTCTAAGGCCTTTTTGTTCTCTGCACTCTAGTTTTTGCTGCTTCTTTTACACTTTCCTAAATGATAATGACTATCTCCACTTCCAGATTCAGCAAAGGCTGGTGTGCCCTCAGCAAAATCTTCTCTCTAACTTGGCATCTTTAAGGAGGTAACAAAGCTTGCCTTCACATGATCTCTGTCATGGAGGTGCCTGGGAAGAAGATGCTGCTTTCCCACTCTGTCCACAGGGTAAAGGGGTCCTGTCTTGGATAAACAGGGCCCCCATGCCCTGAAGTGGAGTTAAATCTCCCACAAACTAGGGACCTTCTTATGCCCCAAGCTGCTTTTATGGTAGCCACAAGCAAAATGAATCACTCCACAGCATTTCTGAATGTTGCTTGATTCAGGAAGAGGGAGACATAAGCAAAATGGATGCATCCAGAAAAGGGAGAGAATCAGACACCAGTTAGTGACTTCCCACTCACTCCTAATGCACCCTGCCCAGGCAGCCAAGCACGGGCCTTCTCCTTGCCACTTGTTTGCTTTTCCACCCAAGAGTTCATCTTCCCTCTAGAGGCTTCAGCAGCACAAATGAAGTCCACAGCTTCCAGCTCTGCATGGTACAGGGCCCTGGTGAACTCCAGGTATTGCTACAAACCAGGGAAGACAAGCTTTCTCCCAATCATAAAAACTTGTGCTGAGTAGTTGTCACTTACCTGAAGGAACCAAAAAGTCACTAGAGAAGTGGTCGATGCCCAATGCCTGTCAGTGTTCAAGATTTGTTTGGATAATGCCCTCATGAATATCTGTTTTAACTTTTGGTCAACCCTGCTCTGATCACGCAGGTGGACTTGATGATATTTGAAGGTCCCTCCCAACTGAACTATTCTAGTCTAGTCTAGTCTATGCTTCCGATATTATCTCACATTTCCAGTGTATTTCTTGGTTCCTGGACTGGCTGTGCCTAGCATCTGATGAAGATGAAGCACCTGCAATGTAAATGTAGTGTAAATCTATGTAATCAGATAAAAGAATACACAGAGAAGGTATCAAGGCTACGCAGGAGCTTCACAGGTGCTGCAGCTGACACAAGTGTGTATGGAAAGAAAAGCTTTGAGACCCGTAGCTGCCACCTGCCTCTTTTGCTTCACTCTGTGTGAAGAGTATGGTCTGGAGATATCTACCACAGAAAGAAGGCTCCAGACCTTTTTTCATTTCTACATGGAAACCCCCACTAGCAACTCCTGGAAGAAAGGCAAAGAACCTACCTTCTTCATCTCTTTTTCTGTGTTGTTTCCAGCACCCATCTGGACTATGCTCAGGGGTGCTGAGATGTTCAGTGGGGAGAAGAAGATATTCTCATTTGTTTTTACTTTGATCAGGTCTTTGAAGAAGTCGAGGCAGAACTTGGCATTGGCTACACTGAGTGTGCCCACTGTGACAAGGCCATGGCCTGCAACAGCACAGCCATGGAATTAATTTCACAACAGAGTCCAAAGCCACCATGCTGGAAATGGGGAGCCTCTCCCAGGCACCTCAATCACCCACGTGCTTCCAGAAGCAGGTTTCAGACCACACTTCGCACTTCAGAGCAAAATGCAAACCACCCCCTGACCCCAACATCCACCTCTGGACAAATCTCCCTCCTAGGTGTAATCTGACCTACCCTGGTCTGCTCTATACCCACATACATGCCCTTAATTTATCTTCTAAAGGCTGAACTCTCTGGTCATATGGCTGTGTAGGCAACACCTTTTTCTTTGAGGACTGCTACGCAGTTTAGTAGCATTACTCAGCCTTCAGACACTGTACTTCTTTGAAGTTGATTGTGTAAAACCTTTTCCCCTTTGATTATTGCATAAAACATGAAGCATGTTGTATAAAAAGAAGCAACAGAGAGGCCAGAAAATTGCATTTTCAATCTCAGACAAACAATAGTATGGAAAGGCCTTCTGCTGCCTCGCAAGGCTGAGGTGGCAATTTCATAAGCTGCCTGGCAATTCTAAGATTGCTGCCTTGCCATTTATCTCCTTTTGCCTTTTAAGGGAAAGAAATCACCAAATTCCTTTCTGCTGATGGATGAAGTTATTCACTCAAGCAGAGCATTTGGCTTCCTACAGCCTGGACGTTCCACACGCACAAAACGTAGAAGTTGTCCCTGTGAGAACAAGTCCTGCAGCCTGCACCCGTGCATCACTATGACACGCTTTGCTCCTGTCCCAGGTCTCCTTCCAGTCCTGACCCTACCCTGAGGAGAGTGAGAGCTGAGAGAGCTACCTTCTCCTGGGAAGAACTGGCTCTGGCTGCTTCTTTGGTGATGGAGGGTGGTGGCCTGTCTCATACTAGGTGGAAAACAACACCACATAGTCAGGCTCCCTGCACAGGTTTTTCTGAGTAAGGACAGTGCCTGGGGAAATAAAGGGCGGGCAAGCAGGGTACCAGGAGCCTGGCTTCTCTTGTACCACAACAGAGTGGAAGTCATGATCCAGGATCTTCTGGTTTCCGCCCTCTGAAACATGTGGGGAGAGAAGGAAAATGTTTTTCTCCTCCCAGGGATGACGCACCCTATAGATGTGGCTGCATCTCATTAGTGTGGACTTCTGAATCGTCTCAAAGATGTGCCAAGTATCTGCAGGAAGCATACAATAACAGGAAGAGAGAAACTGAATATATATATATATACATGTATATATATGTATATGTATATATAAAAGAGTGACTCACAGCATTCAGAGGGGCACTTCTCCCTCTCACTGAAGGATTTGTGTGCTTCTGGTAACCTTTTCTCCAGGAAGCCCTGATCCTCTTGTGGCAGATGATGGAACTATAAGTACAACATGCTTTTCTTCTTTAACCCCAGCCTTCACAGAGAGGTGCAACATTCCCAGTGGTGATGCAGCAGCTTCTCTGCCTGAAGACAGTGAGAGCACTGTGCTGAAGCAGCTTTTAAATTCAGACCAGTGCTCCAGGCCCCTCCAAGGATGCACATGGGTTTTCCCCATGATGCCAAAGAGTGGTGGACACTGCAATCAGAGCACTTGCAGCTGGGGTGCTCAGCTCTGGAAATATGCTGCTGTACTCCAGCTATGGATCTAGACTTGTACCCACTAGATTTTCACCACAGTTTTCATCAGAAGTGTGTGGGGAGCTTGAGGCACATGTGGTTTTGCCTTGGGCTTGAAATGCATCAGGCTCTTATTGATCTCCATAGTCATTGTCGCTGCACTTGTCACAGAATCACAGAATCATCTAGGTTGGAAGAGACCTCCAAGATCATCTAGTCCAACCTCCGAGTTAACACTAACAAGTCCTCCACTAAACCATATCACTAAGTTCTAAATCTAAACGTCTTGGATGGCTTGCACAAAACAACAAGCCAAAAAGGCATCAAGGAGGAGTTGCTCCTGGCTGGAGGCACAGGAGATACACCAAAGGCCCCTGGGTATGTCTTCCAGGATCCTTCCTAATCATTGTCATTCATGAGCAGGGAAACGAACACCACACTAGCAAAACAATTCCTCTTAGCTTTCAGTCCCAGAGGCTGTTCTGCTTCAGGAGAAGCAAAAGTGGTATTTATACTATCCCCTCCACCAGGTGTCCGGAGGCTGGTTGTGGTCTGAGTGCTGCATTTATTTTAGGCCAACATGCATCTGTGCTCAGCAGTGCTCCAGGCGTAGTAGTGTATTTCGCACAGGGGACCAGCAGCTGACTTAACTGAGCAAAATGCAGCTAATTTCCAGTATAGATATCACATGGTCATCTCACTGATGTATTCAGAAAATAGGAGCTGGTGGATATGGTACTAAGAGGGAACTTCCCCCGTCATGAAACTCTGGATTGAGAAAGCATTTCCCTTCAGTGGTCAGCCCTCTGTCACTCACTAGGAGAATTTCTCCCTCTGTAGGATGAGGGCTGTAGGAACAGCAGCAGGAAGCATTACAGACATAGAAAAATCTTTCTCCAAGCCAAACATTTTACAGTCTTGAAGGAGTGTGGCTGTTCGTGCACATTTCAAACACTAGTGCTTTGGGGAAGAGCTTTCCTTGAAAAGTTTTTCAGCAATACTAAAAATCAAAACAAAAACATCACCCACAAAAAGCCCCACAACTTTCCATCTGATACTATTTTTAGAAGGCAGATTGAGATAAGTAAACCTGTAGGACAAGTAAGTTTCTGGTGGGGGTGCTGCATTACCCTGCCCTGTGCTTTTAGTTCATGAATGATATATAACACACTAGAATGGCAAGGCACAAGACATATGGCAAGAGATGTAAAAGCGCTGACATACTTTTGTGTCTTGTGTACCTAGGGCATGTGCTCAGCACAGCTTCTTTGCAAGGTGTTGCTCAAGATAAGAAGACATTCATGAGAATATGCAAAAGAGCACCTTCTGTAGGACCTTTCCCATCATGTTTAAAACAGATAGGACATGTTTGGAAAAGCTGGACTCTCTAAACTGTATCAGTCAAGTGAGGGAGTGGTGTGAAACAATCTGGGAGCTGTGTAGATGACAGTGCTCTTACACAAAAGCAGTGACATGCTGTCTCAGAATTAAGAACACATCATTTCATGCCTGAGGATTTGGTTGAAAAAGTAGTACCACAGCACCCTCTGAAGAGTATGAAAGAAGCTCATAATAGAAGTATTACAAGCATTATTAAGAAGTTAAGGCAAAAGTCATGCTATCAGATAGATATAGAGCAAAATAGTTATTAATAATAATACTATTATTAACAATAATAGTATTATTGTTAGGATATTGACCCATATGGCTACTTTTTTTTCTGTAAAAGTATTACTGGATGACAACAATGGTCCTAGGAGCAGAGACTGGAAACCAGAACTCACATAGAAGATGTCCTAGTTGCTGAACTGTAAAGTTATCAGTCCTTGAATTTCCCACATTAAGTTTCATTCATTCAAGTTAGAGCAGAACTTCAAAAGCAGGGTGTGTATTTCTATGTATTTTTTCCACTGAGTCTATGCTAAAACCCAGTGCCTGACAGTGCTTGGTGCATTCCTCTGGAAGATGCAGGCTTGAATTCTATCGAGGATATGGGATTCACTGAAGATAGGTCCTTCACCTCCTGAGCCACATGATTTCTCCACTGTAGAAGTTAATGTACCACTTTAACTTAAAAACATGAAGTCTGCTCTCATGGCATTTTCAGGGAGCCTTCTTTGAATAGGTATGCTTTAATTCATTTACTAGATGCTCTGCAGAGACCTGTGCTTCAGTCCATTTTGTTCCTGGATTTCAGCATGGGGAAAGCTCCTCATTGCTCACATCAAGGCAGTTCAGAGCAAACAAAGGAAAATGCAAGCTGCTAGAGAATTTACAAAATAAAATGCCTACAAATTTTGGATACTTACACATGCATAGTAAAAGAGAAATTTTCATTTAGATGGGTTTTTGGAGATAATATGCTTAAAGCCAGCCTATGTTTTGTTTAGGACAGCCACATTCTTATTTTGAGTATTCAGCTTCTCCTTTCTGAAGTCATCCATAATTCTGCATATTAAACATGTTTTTCACTAATTCTCCATTACATATACCTGGAAAACTACAGTCAGGAAGTGTGATTTCTGAATCTGGTTTTCATAAAATACTATGAATACTATGATGTAGTACCTGCTAGAAGCAATTATAATACCATATAGAAAACAAGTGCACTTTATCAAGAAAATAGAATCAAGGATTTGCTAAGAGACAAAATTTTAATAAATACGGAAAATATAAGTCAAGGTTACCTCAATGCCTTTCCTGTGTGATTAACTGTACAGATGGAGCAGAATAGCACCTTGTAATAGGGCAGAAGGTACATTTGCAGGCCCAGTTTTTTACACCATCACTTCCACAAATAAACAATGCAAAATGCACATTGCAAAGCAACATGTTTGATTTGCAGAAACACAAGTAGGTTGTTTCACACTAATCAATCATTTGCATACAGAAAGCAATAACTGCTTGCAGAAAACTACGTGCAATCAAAATGCAAACACATCACCATGGCAGATCAATGTATATTCAAGCAAAATGGAATAGCTTAACTTAAATACCTAAGAGACTTCTTAAATAATGCTTTGCTGTCTGCCCAGCAGTGAGATGCTTTGCCTCAAGAAAGATAAACCTACACGTGGCACTGGATACCTTGTTTGACAAAAAGACATTCCTTTCCATTCCCTCACCTTTTGCCTTTAGAAGCTACAGGTGCCAGCCTAAGCAAGGATTTGTTTGGGGTGGTGGTAGCATTGATCTAACATGAAGAATTAGTGAAATGTGATCACAAGAGGTCAGGGTGCTGTGGGGGCCAGGACCTCCGCTGGTGGACCAGGCAGGGCCTGGCAGCCAGGCCTCGTCCCAGCACCCCAGACAGGATTAGGGCAGCGGCACCAGGGCAGGGGTTTCCCTTCTGTTTTGCTCAAACCACAGTTTTGGCCACATCAGCCCCCACCATGTGACTTTTGTGGCTGTGTTTTTGAATGAATGTGTATTTGGCTGCACATGCTGAATGAAAGGATGGGCCCCCTGGTCAAGAGGTTTTGTGGGGACCTGGGGCTGAAGGGTGGCATGCCGGTCCACAGCATGGGGCTCAGGGCAGGGCAGCAAACAGGCCAGAGCCCAGCTGTTTGCAAAGGGGACTCCTGGCCCTCTGGATCCTGCTCTGTGCCCCTCGCCCAGCACAGAGCCCATTCCTGCAGCTGCAGACAGGCTTCAGGGCTAGGGTCACCTGGCAGCAGCCAGCCCAGGCCAGGCACACAGCAGTATAGAGGGCTTTGTCATCCCAAACAGATGGTTTCAAACTGCCAAAAGGCTATTAAGTTTTTTTTTTCTTCACGGAATTAGCCTTCCTTTCCAAATTCATGAGATTGTGGCAGCAGTAAAATGGCTGCTACTGCAGGTAGCAGGAACAGCCCAGCTGCAGGCCCTTGCTGCAACAGGCTCGCCCCACTGCTCGGCCCAGAAATGCACCTGCTTAGTTGGTACTAAAAGGAATCTTATTGTAAAGTCCCTCTCTATTTCTTTCACTTTTATAACTAAGCTCCTGTGTTCTCAAATAGCAGCGAACACAGATCCATTCCCTCTGCCCACATACAGGGTTGTTGGAAACTTCAGCTTCATTTCTTGAAAATCAAGGATGCTGAAAAAGGTTATGCTGGGGGCTTAAAACTGTGCTCATTTCTGAGAAAAGACTGGAATAAAGGGATTTTTTTTTTTTTCTCCCTGTGGCATTTGACACTTCATCACGGGAATCCCTGCCCCTGCCTTTTCAGAAACATCGTCAATGTTTGAGGCTGTGGTGCTCAGAACTTCCTCAGGGTATGTAAATACTCTGTGATGACAACTTTAGGTAATAAAAACATAGCTTAGTAGGTGATCTGTGCCATCAGCCTCCTGAACAGAAACGTGAATGCAACCTGGGGAACCACTGCTTACGTTGTACCACACCTTCAGATTATATAGTAAGGATAGTTTGTTTATTTGACTCTATTATTGGCCTGTTCTTGCTCAAACATCACTCACCCCTATTTCCTAGACTTTCTTGTCCAAAGAGCCCCAGGTAATTCATAGTACGTAAACTGTGGTAATTGTGAATGCAGAACTTTAGAGTGCTGTACTCTCAATTATATGACTAATGGCTAATGCATACTTTCCTTTTCATGGGTCATAAAGCAAGTTGCAAATGGTAATTTGTTAAACCTTATATAGAAACTTTCTGAGGAAGATGTTACTCATCTTAAATGAGTACATTAACAGTTATGTCTCCCTATCAGTCATCAGCAAATTCTGTTTTTCTGTAGTTGTCCCACAAACTAAATTTTTTTCCAGGTTAAGTTTAACTGTGATTTCTTGGATTTATATTGCTCTTTACAAAACTTGATTCATCAGAGCAGGAGAGAAACTTCTCTATAAATGAATCTCAGATCATTAAAATTCACCAGACAGCAGTAAACAAGGAAGAAAACAAATTTCTCAACAGTTCCAGGCTACAGCTTTCCACATCAGTAACTTCAGGGAGGTGCTTTAGACTGTTTGTATCCTATTTTTTGGTACTGAAATCACTTGATATTTCTCCAAATAGAATGCAGTCTTCTTTACTATGGAAATAATTAACCCTCTTCAGAAATGTGTGTTTTCATACCTCATTCCTGTAGACATTATGCTCTTTGGTGTCATTTCAGGACATGGGGAACTTAGGAAATGTTGTCCAGAGGGGTTGTGGAGTCTCTGTGCTTGCAGATTTTCAAAAGCCCTCTCTGGACATGGACCCCGGCAGCCTGCTCTAGGTAGGTGTCCCTGCATGAGCAGGAGGGTTGGACAAGATGACCTCCAGAGGACATTTGCAACTTCAACCATGTTGCAATTCTGTAAGGGTGTGTTCTGTTTAGTTTCGTTTTTCAAAAAAGAGTACAGAAAAAGTCCTGTAAAAAGAGGAACCGAGTTTTGCCTTCCTGCATACACAATTGCCATTGTAATCATCTCTCTTCTAGAGGTATCCATGATGGCGTAATCCTGTCTTTTCCCTGAGTATTCCTACTGTTATAAAAAAGCAATGATCCTAATAGAAACGCGCATGATAAAATCCAGGGCTTGTGTAAGCTGTCCGTGTCACATGCCATCATTCTAATTGGTAAGATGGCACTTTAGGTGCAGGCTTCTATCTAAATAAATAAATGAAGCCAAAGCTGCTTCTAGCATGACATTTTTATATAGCACAGAATAGCACAAAGATAGATCCAGCATACATCACAGGGGAGAAAGTGGTACAGTTATCAGTAAATATGTATATTTGTTGTAAATAAGTATCTCTTAGTTGTTTGTGACTGTTGTGGAAAGGTAGTTATCAAAGTGAGATCTCCATTGTGCAAAGGATTCACCACAGTGTGTAGGTAAGAAAAAAGCATCTTCAAAGCACCTCTCTGCTCACAAGGACCCACCAGGACAGGAATTAAAAAATATAGAGCAAGGCTACTCTGTTTTTAATGGCAGTTACTGATAATCGTTACAAACAATTCTCAGGCAACAGCATACCAATCCCACCTTTGCCAGGCAGGTGCTGTACTACACCACATGGCTGTGCTGGAGAACTCTAATGCATACAGGAGCATATATGGACTTTGAGGAAACAAATTGTTCGTGATATCCAGTGAGGTTAAGGGAAAATTTACTCCGCCTCTGGATTCAGATCAATATTTGCCATTCATTAAGAGTAGCAGCAGAGCAGCCAGTTGACAGCTGTAAGATAAACTGGACTGGTTGCAGTAATTACTTTGAAATACAAGCTAGCTGTCAGAGGATTAAGAACACATTGGGGAAAAAACAGTATTTCTGATTTTCATCCAGGTGTCTCTTGCGATGTTAGAAAAAGGTCCTGATTTTAAGGTGAGCAGAGTTTACCAAAGAAAAGAATAGTGTTGGTGGGATTGTGCCTAATAAAGAATAAGAAAGGGTGGTCAGCCATAAACACCTCTGTGAGGGGAAGAGACCTCCTCACAATGACCGCTCCTGTAGCAGCAGCTGCTACGGTGCCTTCCTCATTGACTTCCACATACGTCTTGTGGACAACATTTGACAGCACCAGAGATTTCACAGGTGACAATGCAGAAAGATCAGCTTTTTCATTGAAGATGTCAGTCATTCCCATCGCTTTTAATACATCATTGAGGTTAAAGGTGCCTTCGAGCTTGAAACGGGGAAGGTACACCTCCACTGTTGTCTCAAACATATGCTCTGAAGAAGACCACAGCATTAAATTTTCGTAGGTCATTGCGCTTTCAATCTAGAAGATGAGGAAATTAAAGAGTTTAGAGTAGGTAAGCAGCTTTGAAAAGTTTAGATTCTTGCCCAGCTTTAATTCAGACAACCAACTTTTGGGCCAGTTTAGCCATAGTCCACAGCCTTACCTGTTCCAGCCCACCAGCAGATCCATCAGCCATGTCTCCTGGCAGCAGGATGATCATACTCAGTGACTTCTGAGCGTAAGGCAGTTCAAGCACCTGAGTTCCCAGCTCCTCGATATAACCTAATTTAAACGTGCCTTTCTGATACATCATCTGCACAGGCTTGCTCTCATTCTATTTAAAAGAAAAATAATTCTATTTAAAAGAAAGCTTAAGTCTTCGTTTGCAGCAGTAATTGTTAGGCACAATGTTTTTCTTTATTTTCTTGCATCTACAATGTCACACAAAACCTCAGCTTTGACATGAATATATAAAGAGGTAATTCTCCTGGGGGGAAAAAAGGAAAGAAAAGAAAAAAAAAAAAAAAAAGGAAAACAAGAAAACACATTTTCCTGCAATTGATCAGCTACTGAAGTGGCTTAATATAGTCACTGTATGGCCAACTTAACAAGCTGATGCTAGCTGGATTTGCAAGTCTTAGTTTGGAATGGGATAAAGAAGAAATAGCACTACAAGGATCAGGCTGGCATTTATCAGGTAGGTTGTTTAGGCAGGAAGTAATAGGTTAAGAGCAAAATTATAGTGTTTTTTTTTATTGTTATTATTTGTGCATATGTGGGTGTGTGTGTGCGTGTGTGTGATGGGGTTGTTCAAAAGGTGTATAAAGGCTCAGGTCTCATTTTACAGTTAGCTAACTTCTTACCTAGCTTCTAAAGCAGTCAAAGAAGCATATGAGTAGATGACATTTTCAGAAAAAAATCCTGATACTATTGATTAGTATATGAAGAAAAATACATAGAGCTTCTCTCTATCTCATAGTTCCTCTGACTACAGCAGTGCTCCACATGTTCTCAGCTATATGCCATTTTCAGTTTCTGTATTTAAAGACACATCTTAAATATTTCCAAATATGTCACAAATATAAGTCACCAATATTACGGTTTCTTACTGGTCTCTTAACAATGCTGCGCAACACTATAGCAATATGTGTTTTCCTGGCCTTTTGTTTTGATAAGTAAGGAACACATGAAAGACACTTTTAACCATACAAAGCTCTTCAACGTAAGATCAAAACTAAATGTGTGTTCTTTGTTGGTTTGTTTGGTTTGGGGTTTTTTTTGTTTGTTTTTGTTGGGGATGAGAACTAATAGAATATTAGTGAAACATATGGAAAGAATTTAAAACTGAATTAAATGAAAGGAAAAGGGCTGAATGTCTTTTTTGAAGACATCTGTTAGACTTAACTTGCACAATACTTGGAAGAATGTGCTTGTTAAGGAGTTTGCTTGGCAATCATATTGACAATACCTGAGTTAAACAGCAAATGCTTTGATGATATACATAAGGAACTAAAAAATGGAAAAGGGGACTAAAAAATAAAATATATTGAAAAAAAACTTTTAAACATTGCAAATACAATAAATAAAATACCCTATGAGAATTTTTCCTATTTTTAAATTCAGTCTGCATATTTGTTGCTTCTTAATATCTGGCCTATTTTTTTTTGGTTTGTTTTAACCTATCGAATGCATAGCTCATGTTAAAATGTATTGAACCAGGATGGCCAATCCTTGTTAAAGCCAGGATGACCCCTTGGAGCCAGTATGAAACAGGATTTTAGAACTGGTTTCCATCCATGTAATGACTACTTGGTTCAAAATTGCTGATCAGGGCTTACACATGTGTTTTGCCAGCTGTTGAAGCAAAATCCTGAGTTGTTGCAATTTCTGAGGCTTGCACATTTTTTTCAGTAAAGATTTTGTTTTACTGTGAAAAGCCCTCCTGCTATCTCTGCCCAACAGGAGAGGCAGGTTAAGTTCTCAGCACACTCACACCTTCCTCACAGCACAGCTGAACCCCCTGGACGTTGTGCTTCTCGGTTATGCTTACGACAATGCTCACAGTATTTAGGGTAAATAAAGTTGAGATTTACAGGAGGCAGGTGTACCTGATTTAGTTTAAAATCTCTCTGAACTGTATTTTTTCCTTCAAACTTGTGTTCCCAGGACGCTTTGAAGTAGATTACATTCACCAGCACCAGAACTGCATCCACATCAATCATTCCAGAAGCAAAGAGTTCCTTGATTTTACCTAAAGGAAATTTTGGAAAACACAAGTATTTGTTAGCCATTGTTAAGACTATGGATTGAGATTTAATTACTTGTCTGTGAAGTTAGCTTTGGAGAAGCTTAGAAATCTAACTGTTTGTTTAAAGGACTGGGACAACATAGGCAAACAAATGGCAAATTCCTCAGCAACATTACCTGGCAGTGGCCTGTTTGGAGCAGGAAGGGACATGGGACCACCGTCCTGCCCAAATCTGGGCCATCAGTAACAATATATACATGCCAGGTGGCACCCTTCCATTGGAAAGAAGACATCACTGATTTCTGTTTACATGAGGGTATCTTTCCCCTTGCACTAAGCTCAGCTGTGGAGTTTTGACTCTCTGCACAGACGTTGATAGCATAGCTTTTGGTCTTGCTTTGTTTTACCTTGTGTCTTATTTTCAACCCAAGCATTAATTTTTAGTATGGCTGCTTCAAGATGCATTCGAAAGTCCACTGTTTGCAGATCTGCTCCATACAATTTCTTGCTGCACATTAGATATTCCTTTAAAACAAAATAAAAGTTAGTCAAATCTGTTCAGCATTTTTTCCCTTTCCAAACAAATCAATGATTCAGAACTATTTTAGAAATGGGGCCAGTCTTGTGGACTCCATACGACAAAATTTTGCTTTGGAAACTTCAATTATCAGAAGTTTATTCAGAAAATCTTTGAAGAAGAGATAATTATTCTAATGCATAGGCAAAAAATGCAAATAGATAAAAAGAAAGCCACGAGAAGTCTTCCCGTGGAAAACTGCATAGCTGAGGTCCAGAAAAAAAAAAATAAAGTGCAAGATGTGTTGTTTGATGCTCTGTGTCCAAATCATTTAGCAGAAAGCAACAATAAAAAACAGCGAAGCAAAGATATAAAGAGCAAAGAGCAAGATATCCCCTAAGCAGCTCACAGGTAGTTTGAAAAGGCCATTTTGGGCCATAGTCATACCTCTGGCTGAGTGTAGACATATTTCAGAAGTGAAAAGCCTCCTGCTCTATTTTTTATTTCTTTTTTAAACAGAAGCCTTGCAAACTGACACTCTTGTCTCTTCCTTCCCCAACAGCCCTAAGAGGCACAGCTCCAAAAGCACACCGGGTGCTCAAAAATACGCATGAGGGAGCAACAGTGAGGCTTATGGTTACAGGGAAGCTGGAGGTCAGGCCACAGCAGTCATGAGATGTAGGTAACTTACCTGCTTCAGTTCAAAATCTTCTTGTAGAAAGAGATTGCTGGCCAGGTTTAGCACATAGTTTTTGCCAAGGCTTTGTAGTTGTAGAAGCAGTGCATGGAAAGCTTCGTGGTTAAGATTCCCGTCTGTGTTACACTAGGAATATTTCAAACACAGTAATTGTAAAGATTCCTCAATATAGCTTTGGTTGTTAGTTTGCATCCTAGTTAGGTTACATTATAGGGCCAATTACTGTTATATCGATTTTTAAATCCAGCTAATCTATACTCAGCTAATATAAACTTTGAAGCCTGATCCTCCTTTGTCCAGAGGCTCTGGTATTCACTTCATGGCAGGCCTGGCCCGTAAGAAGGAAACGCCTTGTGTCAGGCATTTCCGAGCAGATCAGACAGACTTTCTGCGTGTGATCTTGACTCCCTCCAGTGGAAGTCTCTGGTGCTTTATATCTAGTTACCATGAAGTGAAGAAAAGACTCCTGTGATACACATCCCAGGCCTTACCTGGGAGGAGAGGGAAGACCGTCTTTCCTGGCTTCGTTTTGGCTTGTTTTCTGGGACTGCACTCTGAGGCTCAGATCCAAGGCTCGTTCTTCCCGCAGCATTGCTGAAGTGGAGCACCTACAGTTGAAGAGGCCAAATTAAGGCAATTGTAACTGGGATAAATGCTTTGTCCTTGTTTGAAAGATTTGCTGTGCTGTCACGGTGATTTATGAAAGATATTTTCTCAGCTTCAGTCAGGCTGAAAAGACAGACTTGAAATTGTCCATTTATTCATGTTCAAATTCATGTTTCTAGTAATGAACCAACAAAAACATGCATGTAGTCCCCCAAATGCTACTGTCCTCCACCTCAAAATGTTTACGTGTGATTTGCATTTTTATTGCTACAGTTACCTAAAATTTCAAAAAATTGCCTCAGGCAGAGAGACAAAGCTGCTTTGCTTTGCACACAAAACTGGCCTATTACAATCATTTATACTCTTTTCATCAGCTTAGGAAATGTACCAAAACCATAGTGCTCTTGATGAAAACTGGTCCTTGTTTCTACTGTGCAAATATCTCACTGAATATCTCACTGAAAAATTTCCAGGTACTTCTCCATAATAATAATGTTGCAGCGTACAAAGTCTAAAGTTTTTTTTTGTTTGTTTGTTTTTTTGTTTGTTTGTTTGTTTGTTTTTAATGGGGAATACTGGATCTCCATTGATTTCCTAAACATTTAAGCAGAAGTTTCTGGGAACCTCACAAGGAGGACACATCTGCCTTAGCTGCAGGTGACCCAGTGGTCAGACTGTGCCTGCCTGCCTGCACCCACACTTCCAGGGATCTCACAGCAACCACAAGAGAAAGCACCTGCCCAAAATTTTGAAACCAAGGCTGGGGAAAGACCAAAGTGTCCAACTGTGGTGTACCACCTCCTCTCTTACCCACACTCCTGAATTTGCACAGGAGCATGCGGCAACTCATACAGGCAGATGGCAGGGATCGTGGCACTTCAAGACAACACCTGAGCTTGTGTTCATGCTTCTTTCCTAAGCACACATCATGCTGCAATGCCCAGCATTTCCATTAAGAGAACAGCAAGCCATGTGGAAGCATCTCAGGGTGTTTCATTAGTACTTACTTTTTCTATCTGAGCGGCAGTGTTGTTTCTTGTCCCCAGATGGATCAGGGCAAGGGCGACAGAGATGCTTGTTGGAGAGAAGAGGATGTTTTGGCCTTCTTCTGTTTTGTTGAATTTATGATAGAGATCAAGGCAAAATTCAGTAATTGGTCTAGAAATGGAGCTCATTGTGAAGCCAGCAGCTGACTGGGAATGAAAGAAAAAAAAAAAAAAAAAAAGAAAGAAAGAAAAAAAAAGGAAAAAAAAGGAAAGGAGAAATGTAAAAATGTAATGCACTTGTTGCTTAGCTAGATCACACTGCAAAGCATCTGTCTGCCCTAAGATCATCCCATAGCTGGTTGCTAAATAACAGAAGTTTGCTAAATTATGAAACAGACAACTTTGCACACATCTGCAAGCCCATGCTCACATGGACACACCAGGGTCTGGGAAAGGGATCCACACTTAGAAAGGACTGTTTTTCTCTCCTATCCCCTGGTGTATCTTATTTCTTCTGTAAGAGAGAGGTTGCAGTACTGAAATCAGTCAGCTGTGGATTGTCCTTCTACAGACTGGTTTGATGTATACAGTCCTATCAACTCTTTCCTCTTGTAACAACAAATGATTAGTGACATATTAGGGTGACAGAAATTATCCAGGTGTATAACCATGTCTTGTTACCTGAGCTGCAGTATGACAGATTCAAACAACAGATCTATAAAAATAAAATTGCTGTGAATTAAAAGTTTTCATATGTGAAGAGGAGTCCTTAGCAGCTATGGAGACTGTACTACGTATGGAAACATGAACAGTTTGCAATACACTTTTTCTGTCCTTATGGATTTGCCAGGAACCACAGTTTCAGACAGATAAATGATGGAGGCTTTAGAAATGAAGGTTTTAGAAAGCGCTTACTAGTCCTTTGGGGAAAGAACTGAGAAGCTTTTGTGTGGATACCAGTGGGAGCACACAAGTTTTCTCAAAATACAATTTAAAAAAAAAAAAAAAAAAAAAGAACCACATCAGTTTTAGAGCCCAGCAAGTGATATTCTGGACAGCACACCAGAAAAGTGTGGAAAGCAAAGTATCCTCATGCCTGCTTGCAGACGTAGAGATAAGTAGCTGTGGCCTGTGTTACAGAAAGATATGTTATTTAGGGGAAAGTACCCAGCCACAGTATGGAGAGAAAGCCCTCGTGTCTCCCACAACACAGATCTGGCTGGCTTTAGCTTTCAGCCTGCTTTGGGACAAGCTGGGCATGGGTCCACAGCAAGCTGCCAGAGCTCCTCTCAGCTGCAAAGGTGGGTGAGCTCACAGCCAGCCGATTGTGCCCACTCCCTGCAGAAAGCCATGGCACAGCAGGTGCTCCTTCTCAGTCCTGTGCCAAGGATGCAGACCGCATGCTGACTCTACCTCAGTCATGAGCCAGACACAAACTTTTCATCAGAGGCCAGGGCTCAGGCACCAGGAGAAGTTACCGGGGCGTAACAATTTGCTGTGGCTCAGCTGAGCTGCAGCAATTGTCTGCGCAAACCATCTTAGCTTGCAGCAAGTGCCAGACAAGGGGAAAGGACTCAGCCCCAAAGAAAATTGCTGTGGTGGCTTGGAAGAGCTGAAAAGTCAAGTTGCTGAATATGTGAAGGTACCACGTGTGGCAAATGTGGAGATAATAAGCGCTTCTCCATGTTTCTGACTGGTGCTCTGTGGAAGGAACCTGTGATGTTGAAATAAAAAGTTCACACATTTCATACTGAGACATTTGGTTTACCCCGAAGTCCAGAAGTGTTTTGTATGAAGACCTAATACAAATTGCCAAAACAGAGGAGAAACACTAAACAGATACTCTGAACAAGAAAATTAAAGATGAGTTATATCTCATTAAGTCTGAAAACTGCTGTTGTAGAGCACTAGCTCTGTTTGCTGCCTAGGATGAAATGCTGTTTTCATTTTCCTTTTAAGAGCATAGTCATCTTACCACAAGAAAAAAGCACTGCAGCAGTAATATCTCTTTTTTTCCACCTTCATTAACTATTACCTGTAACCTTCTGAAAACAAAACTCAGCACTTCTTTGGTGTTGAAGTTTGCATTGCTCCGCTTTCACAGCCGGTAAAAGATCTAAAATGGACCTGTGAAAATGTTTGCTGTGAATGTAGGTCATGATGCATACCGTAGGTGTGTCCAGACCTCAGGAGGAGTCAAGAAGACAACGAGAGTTAATGAACTTCCTCAGCAGGAGGGAGGCACCTCCACCCCACCCTGCAGGGAGAACACCGACTGCCAAGCACAGAGAGCCTAGGAGCTGGAAACAGGTTTTAAAAGCAAGCACCTGGCACACAGAGGTGTCTGTCTGTTCATTTAGAAAGAGCAGCAGACTGTCTTGAGAGTGATGTCCAGGTATAAACATTACAGCCAACTGCACAGCTTTGAGCTGTGAACTGCTTGCAGGGCTGCCCTGGAAAGCCAACACAACAGTGTGGGGTGAGGGCTGGAGGAGGTGCTTTCTTACTAGAGAACTTTCCTAATGTAAATTTGGGGAGGGTGCAATTTCACATCATTAAGCCATGTGCGCGTAGTCTGTGTAATCATTCAGTCAGTGAGAGCTTTGGAGCTACCACAAGGACGGTGGAGTTTGGAGAACACCTAGGTGTTGGGCAACTGATGGAAATGTTACCCCAAAAAGCTCTTGGAGAAGGAAGGAGAGAAAATGTAAGATCAAAAGAAATGTTTCAGGAAAATCATAGCTGCCGTTCTGCAAAAAGTGTTTGCACAGGACAATAGTGATAGTGCAGAGACAGCAAGCAGGGCTGCAGCTTTACAGCTGATGAAGGGAGATGCTTTGCATGATGGCTCATTAGCTTTAGCATAGTCCAGCAGATGGAAATTGCTGGCGCTGTTATACGTGACAAAAAGCTACCCAGGAAAAGAGCCTCCATCTGAAGAAACAACCACACACCAGAAGCTTTGCAAAGGTGACAAAAGTTCTTCCATGGCTCTGAAATGGAGAACACTCCTTTTCTACAGCTATTCACACTCTGTTCTCTCTTTAGAGTTTGTTTTAAGCTAAGAGTAGATGAAATCAAGAAAAAAAAATCCTCAAAGAATGAAAAGCTGTGCTCAAAACTGTCATAATTAACAGGTGTATTAGAGTATATTATGCAGTCAGCAGGAGGAGGCAGTAAATAAGGTGTGGATGCTAGAAGAGTGGTAGCCTGTTGTTTTTTTTTTAAGGTAATTCTGTATCTAATACAAGGTAAAGAAAGAAGGAACCTGTTTTCCCTGGCACTGCATGATAATTCCCATTGCGTGCTTATTTTCTCTGCCACCCATGAAGGTGCTTTAATGCACATCTATTTCTCATAAGCAAAGGAAGAGAGCATTGGCAGAAATTACGTGTCTGTCCTAGAAAAGGAGAACATGAGAGAGAATACAGACTCCTCACTTGCAAAATCTATGATTGGTAGAAGTTACTTTCTAATTTTTCATGACCATTCATAGAAAAAAATTTCCAAGTATATGTCTGCTCATTTGGAGTTAAAGGGACAAACACACAAGAAAAATGAAATTTCCTGTAATACAGAAATTCTAATCATCCCCATGCAACACAAAACATTCCCAAAGTAACATGCTTTAAATTATAAACCAACACATTTCAGCAAAAAAATAACTTTTCAAGGGAAATGTGACCAAGTCCATTTTCCAAGCATCTTAGCCCATAACGCTGCTGCTTTCATACCTGAAAGGGCTTTTTTTTTTTTTTATATTTTTCTGTCTGCTTCTATTATTTTACGTCTGTACCTCCAGGATGTTTCTTTTCTACTTCTTTCTAGGCCAATGATTCCTGTACGTTATGGGCCTATTATGGGCCAGTGGCAAGCTGTTTGCTATGTCTGTGTGCAGTTGCATAGCTTCTCAGCAGGCTTTTAAACACCACCGCCAAAGCCAGGAGTGAATATGTTGATAGTGGAGACTAGCATCCCCATTACCAAAACACACAAACACTCCACCCTCCCTATTTTATGTAGTCATTGTTTAAGAACATAAACAACCCTGTCAGCAGGGACCAGGGTACAGAGGAAACACCCAAGCACCCAGCCAAAGACATGCATGCCCTCTCTTGTCTAGTGAACATTTCAAGGCTTTTTCTCGTGCCACGGAAACCCGAGCAAAGAGGGAAAATTCATCTGTTCCTCTTAATTTGAAAGTGAGGTTGCTCAGGTCATCAGTGCCATCATTTCCTGGGAAGCCCATTCCTACCAGAGCGCGCAGGGGTGCACTGAAACAGCCTGCTCCTCAGCCCTTCTGGAGACCTAGGCAGAAAAGCACCTGCTCCTGGTATAAACCACTTAGCTGTTCGGTCCCATGGCAATTATAGCTCTCTGACCAGGCAGAGAGGCCCTGGGGAAATTTTATATTCAAAAGTCTGTGAAATTGAAGCAGGCAGCTCTAGATTCATAGCTTTGGGAATATGTTCCTGAATTCCCAGCTACCACCCACTGAGGACCACCTCCCTTGGTGGTAGCTCTTAAATTTTAGCACTGGCTTTTTGCTGCCTCTAGCCTGTAAAAATATCTCCTTCTTTGTCCCATCTGTAAACATTATGCTTACTTTACCAACCTTTAGACTGCTTTGGATCTGCCAAAGGAAAAAAAAATCACAAGTTATTTTTGAAGCAAAAATAATTTTTTACCTTCTTGCCAAAGAGGTTAAACTGAAGAGCACGACAGCTGAGATCTGGAGCACGTCCCTGTGAATATCGTATTATAAACTTCTACCACTCTCTTGCGGGAAAGTTCAGCCTCTAACCAATTGTTGATAAATGCAGCGTGTTGCAATTTAATGCAAATGTCATCGTGCAGTTTCCTGCAGAAGACCAGGAAACCTATCTCTAGCAATATGCTAACAGCACTTGTCTTGAAGCTGCCCGACGAGTTTGGCAGGAGATATCTATGGGCAACATCTCCTGACTGCAGAGCCGAGTCATCTGCAGCTGGCACACTGAGCATTAGTGCTAGAGATCCACGGCTGCACTGCTGCATAGAGTCCCCTGGGGATGTGGTGGGGTCTGGGCTGGACGCTGGGATGTGCAGGGTTCGTGGCAGGATTCAGAGAACCCGTGTTTGGAGCTGAGCTCACTGGCAGACACAGAGCACATGAATGGGAAACACGTGAGCTTTATGTTGCCTGCAGCCATTTCTCTCTCTCAGGTACAGAGCCAGCTTTATGTGCTTGGAAGGATTTTAATTAGAGAGGGGAAGAAGCATTTCCTTGAACTGTAACAGGAATCCCCAGCCAGGGGGTATTCTTTTAAATCTCTGGAGCTAAGAATGAAAGCAGGCCAGGAGAGGCTGATCACATAGGTTATGTCCCCAGCATGCAGTGAGACACAAGCAAAGAGATGGGAAGCATGGAGCTGCACAAGTATTTGATGTCTCCTCACCAGAACCACTGAGCTCTGCTGCAGCACTGGGTTAGGGCAGCAGGATTCAGGGGTCGAGATGAAGTCCTCTCAGGCTGTACGTGGCTTTGCAACCCTGATTTTTTTCTCTCTTTCCTTTCTCACCCTTTTTCCTATCAAGCATAAAACTGTTTCCAGATTCATAAGATATATGAGGGATAAGACGTGGTAAGGGGAGAAAGGAGAAAGAAGGAAGAAGGTCTCCCAGCCCTCTCTTGCCCTTCCCACACTGCCCTTCCAGGCTGAAGCTGGACCACTCTCTCCCTCCAGCCCAGCTCCCACCAGCTTTGCTCCTCCCTGCTTCTCTGCCAAGGCCTCAGCCCAGCTGCCAAGGCTCCACTGCCCAACAGAAAAGAAGGTTTAATAAATAATGTGAAATATGGTAATAAAATGGGCGTTCTTTTTCTTGTACTATTTTCCACACTTTTTTATTTGATTCCATTTGCTATGCACTTCTTTGCTTGCTTTTCCAAAATTCATGTTTCTGTAGTGTTTTTCTTTGTTGTTGTTTGCTGTTTTCTTTTGGTCTTCTTGCTCATTTCTTTATATATATATATATTTATTTTTTTTTTTAATTTTGAATTTATTTATATTTCTTTCCATATATTGCCTTACCCCTTCTGTTCTCCACATCTCCTATCTTCTTCTGCCTTTATGAGTCCTAGCTATTTTCCAGTGACTAACTATTTTTGAGTCTCGTTCACTACTTTCCTTCTTCCAGCCCCTGTGCTTTCTCCATCCCTCTTCTAATAACACTGTTCCTCCACTTGTTGCTTTTATTTACTCTGTATATTCCCTCAGAACTCCCTTGCCATCTGCTTAACCACTTTGCCTCAGGAGATGTCACCGTCTGTACAAATTCTGTCTTTTCTAAGCCCTTAGGAGTTCAAAACTGCACGGCCTTTCCAGTGAGGAAACTCCAGTTGTTTGTACGCAGCATTTTTCAAGTTCCCAAACCCACTGCCCTTCCCCATAGACAATTCCTGCTACTGCAACACATTGAAATGTATCGGCTCTCTTCTACAAAATGCTGGGGGCAGGAAATGAGCAACGACTGTGCAGCTGAGCAAGTGGTGGGGTGACTAGACACATAACACTGCAGTTTGCAACTGCCTGCAAAAGCCAGCTGTGGCTTGCTTTTTTCCATCAGGCCAGCCACCCATCATTGGATAGCAATGCTGTGTTGAAAGGTAAGGTGGAGTAACTTGGCAACCTGAGCAAGCCCTCACCTATGTTCACTTTCTCCATCGTAGCCAACGCCTTCCAGCACGTAAGCGTTTCTATACACAAGCTCCCACACGCGTTTTCCCATGTCCTCCCATGCAATTTCTTGCCTGTGGCCCAGAGGCCAAAATGGGCAGAACTGAGCAATGCTTTATAATGGCATTTCTCACATCAGTAGGAGCCCTTCTGATACCTCTCCTTCACATGCAGCAAGATAAATAGGTTTTACCTTGGGTCTCCTAAATTTCCATAGGACGGGAAGGGTCTAGGAAACAGGACTGATACACCAGAGTGCAATTTCTAAATAGAACAAGGATTACTGCACAGCTCTTCTTTTTGGCTATACGAGGTCCAGTACACTAAAAGCATGAGGCTTCGGGGGCTCGTGAACACAGATTACATCACAACTCTACCTGCAACTGCACTTTCTGGCCCACCATGGACTTTTTGGCCCTAGTTTGTGTTGCAGCTCATCTGGTCACCGTCTATGCTTAAGACAGTGCTGTGGTGCAAGCCTAACATCTTATCCAAATCCATTTACTAGGCATTAGCATATTATATAGTATTAACAAAGCATGATTAAACATTAATCTAGGCCCCTTTGGGCCTGCTAGTAGGAAAAAGGAAATACGGAAAGATGTAGAGAGAAGAAGCAGAATGGAAAATGAGCCAGAGCTTTTCACGACCAATAAATGGGTTTGCCTTCTGTAGGCTAAGATAGCTTATTATCTGAAATATCTGCTTGCCTTGCATAGGCTGGGATACCTTGGCATTACTCAGGAGCTGAAGAAAGATAGGCCACACCTTGAGGCAGTGCTCCTGTGTGCTTTCATGGGATAGCCCTTCCTGGCAAAGGCGTCGACAAGGAGCTCTCTGAGAAGATGTGCTTACGTAAATGTGTGTGGATGCAGTAAGCGATCTGATCAGCTGTCAAACAGAGTACGAGCTGCACTGAATGAAGACTGGCTCCTGCACTGGAATATTTTCAGAATCTGGAAAAGCTGAAAGAGTGATATCTGAGCTTTGCTCCTTCAGGAAATCTCATCCAGGCAGAAAAAGAGGGATGGGGAGATCTGCCAGAGGTTTTCATCAGTCTCGCAATAGTAGCAGTAAGTGAGATACAGCCTGCTGGATACCTGGAATTACTAGACCACAGGTCACTGTCCAAATACAGACAAACTGTACAGATGGCAGGCAAGTAGTCCACCTTACCTACGTACAGACTGCCTGTGAAGCTGCTAGTCAACTGCCAACCCCACGCGTGATTCCCTGACCTATGGGAGAATCAGTAGACACCACAGTGATGACAACTCTACATAACTTCAATCCCATCCTCTAAAAGAGATCAGACAATGATGGAGCATATAAAACATTTTCCAGACACCCAGTTATCACCGAAGCTATTGAGCTAGTAAAGATATTTGCAGACAACTCCCTCTTAGACAGAATGGACTGAAAACTAATTGTTATTTATTGGATTCTGCCTCTGATTTCTATCCATGTTTTGGAACACTTGATAAACATCAGTGAAGACCCCCAAATGTCTGCATGGACTCAATTCCCATTGTTTTTGGTAGGAATTAGTCCCCTCAATACCTTCAAAGATACGGGTTAATGACTCCAGTTAACCCTCCAATATTAAAATGTGTTAGATCCCATTAAAGGCCCGCAGGAAGCAAACTGGTGAAAGCATTTAATCATTGTCACTAAAGGCTACTCGTGGTTTGGTAAGGCCAAACAGCAAACAGAACTCTCTCCATAATAGCCACTGTGCTGCTCTCTGGTGAGAGAATAGAGGAATATGTACTAAAGGTTGCATGTTCCCATTTAGAAATCTCTTTCTAGTTTCTTTCAAAAGAACCAAGAGGAATACCCAGTTAAAATGACCCCTTTTGGAGGATACGTAATTGAATTCACTATATATTTTGACCAGTTAGTAACATACTCCTTACTGTGAGCTATTATCATGTGGTCCAAAAGGGCAACCCAGACACAGATTTAGTTTTCTTTCTTTTTTTTTTTTTTTATCTTGACTTGGTGTGCTAAGCAAGTCTGTTCATTTCAGTTCCTATTATTTATTTAAGGTCAAAAGTAAATAACAACAGGCTGACACTGGAGGTACTGCAGACATTTGACACAGGTTTTGTAGTGCTTTATTCTGAACAGTGGTTAGGTAAATCAGTACTGAACATATGCAGCAGGAAGTCTTTAGATAGAAATGAAATCTAATTATCATGATATCATGTGGAATTCGTAGACCGGTAATTACCATGTTAATCTCACTCAAGTCGATGTCCTTATTTCTTGTACCTCTGAGGTTAAGTAATTGTGTGGAGCCTCCTTTAATGCTGAATCCAGAACTAGAACTGACAGATAATCTGTGCCTGAAAATTGTGGCACTTCTAGTATTAATCCATCCAATTTCTATGCTAGAATTGCATAACTTTCTTTTTCTCAGGATATATATAACAGGGCTCCTCTTAGCTGCAGTGAACAGGTCCCCTCTGCCATGTCTGAAGGAGAATGAGTGAAGAAGTCCCACAAAGTAGAGTCCAACCTCTCCAGCCTATAAACAGATGGAGCTCATGCAGAAGAGTGTTCTGGGTGTATATTCTCATTGCCTCTTGCATCCATAGGTGCAGCTGCTGTTTCACAGATGCAATCTCTGGTGCTAGCTGCACTGCTTCACTGTATGTTAGCAGGGTCCAGCAGGGCACCCTGGACCACCAGACTGTAGCCAGGTACAAGAGGAGGGCTATCACACCATGTGTCCACGTTTTCCCCTTTTTGGCAGTAGGAATCCACAGTGTGGGTCTCAAGGGAGAATAGAATGAAGCTCTTCCTCCCAGAGCCCCTTCCAACTCTCAGTCTTTCAAAAGTAGGCTCTCAGTTCACTTTGTTTTGAGAGAAAGATGTCAGAGGAACAAAATATATTTATGGCTGAGGCTGGGATACTTGGTAAAATATCATGTGTTCTCCACAGTGGGAATCCTTCAGCTTAAGGGGATGAAGCAAAAATAGAGAAACGAGTTGTGCTGCATATGTAGAGTACATAGCATTACCCTGCTGATATATAAACCTCTTAGATTTCCTTTCAAAGGTGATAGTCAGGACACCAAGCTTTACAGGAACATGCATCACCATAAATGTAATTGTGCTTTTTCGTAATTAAAATGCCCTCCTTAAGGGGAACAGA